GCTAGATATCAACGTGAGGGAGGGGTGGGAAGGGGTAGTGTAAAATTGGAGATAATGTCGATCCAGCCCAGTGTCTACCAGTGGTTCAGTTGTAGAATGCTTGACAAATACACCTAAATGGGCTGGGTTCAATCCCGGATTGCTCATAAGCTTTAATCCCCTGATTACGACACGATCTTCTCCACGTCACCATTGGAGCCATGCCAAACTAGACGTTCACCATTTAGCTTTCACTTGAGCGACAGCTTCGCTCACGATGTCACCCAACGGTGGCCTCAGTGTATATCTGATCCATTCATCTTTATTTCCTTCAGCCTATCTGTTGGCCGGGCAATAGGTTCTGGGTTGATTCATTCGCCGCCAGAGTTTCTTGTTACGTACTTATTTGTCCTTTCTGACCAACCGGGGGTCTGATCTTCAGTAATGGGCGAAGCTAGTAATTGGCTAGTTAAACCACGCATCGGCCTTTTGGAAAGGCTTTCACCAGTGACGTGGACTTCAAGTTTCTGATGTATATAAAAGCACTGATTGACTTGAGATGGGTTTTTAAAGTTCGAATCACGTTCTTTATTCTGACTACAGTGCAGATATGCGCACTTACTTCAGAGTGATGAAGGTCTATTTTGCCTTTCCTATCCTGACTCCTATTTGACATCTTCATCGTTGTCTGTAGCTGAAATGAAGGTACCTAATCAGGAAGGAAGTGGTCTTTTTCAAATTTCTTCCGTCGATACTGATTGATACTTGTTGTTGTTGTTGTTACTGGACCAGGTGGTCTAATATCGAACTGTTGATAATGGTTTTCTCTACACCTTTATTTAGCCACACCGGTAGGTGTTCTCCCAGCGAGCACGAAGAATCAAGATCCTAGGGCAACGGCCAATATAACTCGCTCCACAAGCGTAGCTGAATTGTTAGATATAATTAGAGGTGGTTAGTCTAGGTACTTCATCTTTCAATCGAGGAATCACAACCGGTATTGTAGTACATACAAGTTCCTTGAATAGATTTTCTTAACTTTTTGGTAGTTATTTCACTCGGTGCGTCACCCTTGAATTGCAGTCGTATGCATAAAGGCTTCTTATAGACAGATAGAGAGTAAACCTTTTATACTTTCTTGGTCATGTGTTTCCTTATGATCTTTTTTGAATAGCAGCTATCTTCACCTAATGTGTCATATACAATCCACCCTAAGTTCATCTTCAAATATGTCTTGTGAGCGTATAACTCTGATCCTGTAGCAGAGGGTCCTTATTAAATTTCTCTTATACTGGAGAGGAACAAAACTATGAAAACGTGTATATTGTCTTTTCCAGGCACTTATGCAAGTTTCTCATTATACTACCAACTGGTTTTCTTGTAAGAAGGATGTGTACAAGGGCAATTCTACTTTGTGATTTCTCTTCACACGTGAATTCGATAGCTGAGTGTACTTTATTGAATTGAGTTGTTATTATTCTCCTATCCGAATCGTTTTCACAAAGAATGAAGGTATCATTCATATATCGGCAAAAAAAATGAAATCTTTCTCATAAGGTTGTTCATAGGACCATTTTCTAGTTGACTTAGAAAGAAATCTCAAACGTTCGTGTATGTTGAATTGATGACAGGGATTCCCATGCTAGTAGAAACAGTTCACAATTATCACTAGTATTGTCACCTGTCAACAGCCAGCCACTAATGTTTTATATATACAACACCTAATTGCTGACTTTCCCAGCCTGCTTACCGTTATCGAGAACACTAAACTACAAGATGAGTTGGATAAAAGAGTATATATTTACATAAGAGATCAATAATCTATACACATTTGGAAAAGAAAGAACTCTACATACACACAACTAGCCAATGACTTAGGTGGCATTATAAGTCGACAAGTTGCCTATCTATCGATCTACCGTATGGGACAATTCTGATTGGTTCATTTTCTAGTCAAAATATCGATCCACAACGGGTAAGTTTCAAATTTGTTGATTCACTTGGAGAGAAAGATGATCTGCTGTGATGATTCATATACACTTTTTAAGTTCTTGGAAAATACCCATATGAACATTAGAAAGAAGAGAACACGAAGTTCAACAAAGATATCTTTTCGGCGATTTCATTCTCAAAAGCTGTACAATCGCATTTATATAGATTATTTTAACATGGATAGAATTATTATTTGTTTAATTTCACATAGTAACGAAGGTGATAATAATTTTCAACTTGATATGATAGTTTGAAGGTACGAATATAGATTACAAGAGGCTTAGAGACAAGATTTCATAGGATTAGAAAATAGTTACAACGTATGCAAAAAATTAATATTTGATAACTGGAGAAATAATTTTAAAGGCGAATCGAAGGTGATAATTATTTTCGACTTGATATGAATTACAAGAGGTTTAGAAACGCAGGGATAGGACGAACTACAGGTGTGAACAAAATGAGCATGGAAACAAATTGAAATCAAATTTTTCAACTTGACATGTTAGTTAGGAGGTATGAATATAGATTACAAGAGGCATAGAAACAAAAAATTACACAGGATTAGAATATAATTGTAAAATGGTTATTCTAAACGGATTACAAGTGTGATCAGGAGGAGCATGGAAACAAAATTAAAATAACTAGTTTTATAACTGAAAAAATAATTTGAGCCTGAAATGAAAGTTAGGACGTGTGAATATAGATTACAAAAGCCTTAGAAACACAAAAATTGCACAATATTAAGATATAATTGTAAAATAGTTATTTCAAACGAATTATAAATGTGAACAGGGAAAGCATGGAAACAAACTTAAAATAACTGTTTTTATAGCTGAAAAAAAAATTAGGTGGATTAAACGAAGATTGAGGGACTAAGAATCAGACACACAGCGAACGAAAAATGCTCTAAAGGAAAAAACAAGAACGAAAACAGACGAGGAAGAGAAAAAAAAGACGGAAACAAAGGGAACATACCAAGCTAGGTCCATGGTAGTTGTAGAGGTTGGACTAACTTCTTTTGAACACACAGCTCCGGCTTCTCGATGCATATTGTGCGGGTTGATGCAGTACAAAGAAGTCGGAAACATATTGCTCTTGGTAGGTTTCTGTTGACTTTGTAAATCACTTTGAAAGAATCGGTTGAGATTTTGTGGGAGGTGTTGACCAGATGTTCAATAATGGCACTTCTGATTGAACCGGTGCCTCCTCTTTGCAGCCACGCTGGGTAGTGTTCTCTAACACGTTTTGAGAGGACGCGCATACAACGACCTATGTACCTAGCTCCGCACGAGCAAGTGAACTGGTATATGCACATTGAATTGGTCATATGCGAAAGTTTGTCCTTCGTGTTGTTTCGAAGTATTGGGCGGCTAGAGAATGTCACTCTTAGTGTTGCTGCAGGGAAGGTCTTCTTTAAAGAGCTGGATATTCTCCTCTTCAGGATATCAGCTGCCAAATCTCCCTTGAAATTCAGATTTAGATACAGCGTTTTCTTTGGCGCTGAATCGCATTCTTCTCTTTTAGGTTTAGGTTTCATGTTCTTTTCGACAAAACGTGTCGGGTAGCCATTTTGAGCCAGGATATTTTTGAGGAATAGGAGCTCCTCTTCCATGCAATCGTTGCTGCAGATTTTTCTAACGCGATGGGTTAGTGCGCTGATGAGGGCTCGTTTTCGGCTCAGAGGTATCCAACTATAGAAATGCGTTAGTTGGCCATTCCATGTCGGTTTTCTGTGGATGGACCTCTTCAGGGTTCCATCATCTCTTCTTGTCAATTCCACGTCCAGAAATGGAATCTTTGAATCGCTTTCTAACTCCATTGTGAATTTAATCGAAGGATGGGAATTATTGAATTCTTGTAAGATGCAGTTGAAGTCCGAGTTCTCGTAGCAGACTATAAAGGTATCGTCAACGTACCTTTTGTATAGTATTAATTTGTTTATTGTTGATTTTAAAACTCCACTCTCCAAACTGGCCATAAAGCAGTCTGCTAAAAGCGGGCCAAGAGGAGATCCCATTGCAATTCCATCTTTCTGTCTGTAGATGTCGCCGTTGAAGGTGAATTGTACATTCAGCGTGCATCTCAGCAACAATTCCTTCAGATATGATATTGGTACTCCGACGTTTATATTAGATTTCTCCATATAATTGCACAGAAAGCAAATTGTTTCTGTTAGTGGCACGTTGGTAAAAAGAGATTCAACATCTAGTGATAGCATTCGTTTATCATTTACATTCAAATCTTTTATGCATTCGATGAACTCAAAAGTATCACGAAGAGAGTATTTGCATAGGTGTTGTCTTACCGGCTCCAACATTTCGGACAACCATTTGGCGATTGGATGGTATGGTGACCCTGACATGTCTAGAATCGGTCGAAGCGGCAAGCCAGGTTTGTGCACCTTTGGTAAGCCGTAGAGTCGGGGAATAGTTGATCCTGTCGGTTTGAGGCGGTCGAACAGGTCCTCAGATATCAGACGATCGTTCTTCATTCTTCTGAGAACATCTGTTAGTTGTCTTTCAATCAGTTCTGTCTTGTTTTTCTCATTGTCGGGCTTGGCAAATTTCTTGTCATCTGATATAAGTGTTGTCAGTTTGTTAATATATACATCTCTGTCCATTAGGACCACTCCTGATCCTTTGTCAGGACGTGTTATTATTAAATCTTTATTGTCTCTTAATTCTTTGAGTTGTTTTCTATGTTCGCCTTTAAAATTATTTCTCCAGTTATCAAATATTAATTTTTTGGATACGTTGTAACTATTTTCTAATCCTATGAAATCTTGTCTCTAAGCCTCTTGTAATCTATATTCGTACCTTCAAACTATCATATCAAGTTGAAAATTATTATCACCTTCGTTACTATGTGAAATTAAACAAATAATAATTCTATCCATGTTAGAATAATCTATATAAATGCGATTGTACAGCTGGTTTTGAGAATGAAATCGCCGAAAAGATATCATATACACTTCACAATTAGATAATTTTATCGATGTTTATTTATTTATTTTTTAAATATTTTTTCAGTTTAAAACGATTAGTTAATCCTGGACAAGATACTCAACGTCGTAAAGAGAATTGTTTAAACGTATGGATCCAAGAAGCCAAAGGATTAACCGTGAAAAATAGGTGAGTTGCACACGCATCTATACAAATCCACGTGATAATTGCTCTGATATGTGAATACCTTGTTATTATTTCCTTTGTTTCGGAGTAGATAGAACAAAGAGTTTTATCTGGGTAGGGGTGAGTGAGCGCATTTCCGTTCTACTCTGTTCTCTTCAATCTATTATTCAATCTGGCTCTATGATTCCCGAATAAGCTTTCATCGCCATCTTACTAAACAGTATCCTCTTCATGTCACCGTCGAACCCACATTCAGATTCCACTATAAGGTCTACCATGGCGACCAAACCCGTCTGAACTCAAGAAACCGATCTCTGCATCCTACTGTATACCTCCTTGGGACACGCAGTCACGAAAACGCCTCACAGACAGGAAACAGTCGATTACTTGTAGATCTGGAATCTGTAGATCTAGTGAACAACAATAATAACTTGTCAAAAACTCAAAATTACCTCAACAGTGCCGTTAGGCAGCTACACAGTCCAGTCTAAGTACAAAACGAGTACTTGAGAATCAAGTAGTACAATATTCTCAACATTATAGTGGGATCAAAAACTCTGTCCATCACAGAATCACATACCAAACGATTCTTGCACAGAGTCCAAGGTTACAATGACCTCCACGCAAAAATGATCTCCGTTGTGAAACAACACATTATCTATGTCATCACACACAAAATCAACCACAAAGAGAAGCATTAAAATTAAAGATTAAATGGACAAAAGCATAAATATAAAAAGCTAAAGTCAACTTATGATAATATGCAAATGTTAGATGCAATCATATACAGTGTAGGCGGAAAACGAATAATAAATTACAAAGTCCAAATATAAGTACCAGTGTGGTGAGAGCAGGCCGTGAGAAAATATGAGCAAGGCTGATTCAACAACCAATCACAGCAAAGTTAACGTGGCAAAATATCATTCGCAGATAGAGAACTCTATTTGTCGAGGAATCCCGAAACAACCAATCAGAAGCCTGCGTTTGTCTGCCTAACTTCTGATAAACAACCAATCAGATAACTGCGCTTGTCTACTTGCATAAGCTATAATAATGTATGTGAAATATGTATAAATACGTGTTGATTTTCATAATAAAACGATCTGTTGCCTGGCCCTTGTCTTCTGTTGTTACACCAGTATTGTAATTAGATCGCCCAAGAGGGATTTTCCAAACTAATAATAATTTTATTACACTACCTAATGTGACATTTGGTGTTACTCAACGGGGTCTCCTCAGTATGTATTGTCCAATCTCTCCGTCTATCTTCATGTCTATATACATATTTGTTGGGTTATTGGGTCTTTTCAGACTCCCCTGTTGCTTATTCCTCATAACTAACCATCTAGCCGCCATCTTGTATGGAGAACGAAGGCGGAGGCTGTCAGTAAAAGTCTACAATTGCCTGTTGAAAGTGATTTTGACGATGCTTTCTACACACTGATTTCAGATTAAGGAATGGTTTCTGTCTTGCTTTTCCTCCAGTCCTGTCTAGCCTTAACACCCTCATCATCTATGCCTTGTATATGTTTCGGGAACACATTTATTTTCTGATACGAATATAAAACAAACAACAGGTGGTAATGTGAAGCAGGATTCAATGAATTTATCAAATTTTGGCAGAACTCTTCAGCTGAATACTCAACATACAGGGATTTATATACAATTAGTCATGTAAAACGACACGTTTCAATGTTTTCCAGGTTATATTCTGATAGATAAACGGAAGGGAGTATGAAAGATTAAAATTAAGATAAAATGCATTACGCTTCAATTACATTACTTAGATAAACAGTATCCGCTTACGCAAAGCTTTTGTTCTCATTTATCTCACGACCAATATTGGGGACGTAAAGATTGACGTAAATTACTGTCCACCAGTTTTGGCTAACAACCAGCTTTCATCACAAAATCATATATCGAGAATTGCGAACTGAGTAATATTAATATTAAAAGTTATAATAATAATGTTGAAATGGTTAAGATAATACTACTGATAAAAGATAGTTTCGAATGTATCAGTCATAATAAGAGGTAGAATAAAACAAAATATTAATAATAATAATAGTAACAGTTAATAAGTAAAACATATTAGCACGGTAGATTCAGAGTGACCACCACTTCCTCTTATACACAGAGGCCCAGTTTGTAAGCTCTAAATGCACAAGCCTCTTCCGTAATATCAAGCATCTTCTTGTTTCTTTGTCTGCTGACAATAACACTGATGAATGACTTGGCAGATTGTCGATACCATGTCCGTAGCCCACAAGGTGCTTTGTTATTGAAGTTTTTAGCAGTTGGACTTCAGCTGTTTTCAACCACTTTGACAAATGCACCATTGTGCGAATAGACAATCGCCTTTCTGTACGATCTTTGTACTTGCTTTCAAACACACACTATCATATATATATATATATACGCATTTTGAAGTGTTGAGGATTGATGAATACCGGTCTTTCTCAGACTGTTGAAGGATCCGCTTAGTGTCGTTGAAGAAGATACGTTTTGCAGCATGATAAGTTCTCTTGATAGCTTTGTCGGGTGGGTCTTCGTTTGACTACTTCTTGTATACATCACATCTTTTGAATGAAGTGTCCTGTCTTCACTACTATCTTTTTCCGCTAACTTTTGGATTCTCGCCTGTAGATCTTCGAGTTTTTGTGACACCATACACAATTTTCCGGTGAAAGTGTAAGTCTTTTGCTTCTTCTTCTTCTTCCTGTTTCCTCGTTCTCATGCTCTGTGGGATGATCCAATCCACGAACAGTCCACTTATCGGTGATAAAAGACAGCTTTCTACTCTTTTCGCTTTTTCACCCCCAAAGATACGTCTGAGTTTTCTGCTATGAATTCCTTGGCGTGTGGAATTTTCATTCATAGAGCTGTTGAATAATGTTAGTAAATGTTTAGTCCACTTTGTAGTGTCTTTATCCAGTTTCCAAATCACTTTGCAGTCAACTTTGTCGAAGGCTTTTTTGAAAGCTGATGACTTTCATAGATAGAGATTTGACTGCTGCCATTCTATTCAATGATGATAGTGGTGACGATGTTGCATAGCGTTGCGATTTAGGGAATACGCTAGGGTTTGAATTGAGTTGAGTGACCAATACTTGTTCTTTAAACCAATTACTTATTCCAATATCATTGATGCCGCAATTCTTTGCCACCCTTCGAGTGTCTAGAGCTTTACTTTACCAGAATTAGTTGCTTCTCCATCGCATACTAGTAAGTGGTAGTAAGTCAAAAGGAAGTAACATTCACAAAAATAAGGTTCATATACCCCCCCACACACACACACATGCATATTTTTGCTTTCATCGAGAGAAGATACTCATCAGCCGGCTCTGGCTTTGCCGATGACTTTTACCCTCTGGCGTCATTTCCCGTTGAGTTGAAGAGTCTTGGCGATTCTAACGGAGAATACACTATTCTTATTATTCTGAGGGTGACATGGATGAGATTGTGTGAAACGGTGGGGGAATGAAATTTTATGAGCAATCGTGGGGCTAGATGAACAGGAATGCATAGAACAGGAAAAAATGTAGATGTGCATCGGCTATTGGATAATCATAATAATAGTGATAAAAGTAGTATTAATAGGGGACCAAAATTTAATCTTCACAATAACAGATCATTCCACATTCATTGATGCATCTTCCATGCACCTTTAGGTGTTTGAAGTTGAAATTTGACGGTTTCTAACATGCCATTCTTTATTATTATTGTTATTATTATTATAGGTATTTTTGTACAATCTTAGTGAATGGTACAATCTGCGCACGTACAACTATCAAACAAATGACAGATATGTTATTTTGGGGTGAAGAATTCGACTTAAGGTGAGTTTGCTCTTTCATCAAGAGTTAATTTGTCCGCGGTTTTGTTTCATGTTCGATAGCATAGACTGTTTCATCAGTTAGAGTAAAAAGTATTGAAAACCACTAGCAGTATGGAGTACTAGTTAGTTGTATATTGCCTTCCTACGCCAACCAAGACCGTTGACTATACCTTGAGTACTGAGACAAAAATTCAGTTACTCATGCATAAATTCTAACCTTTGCCGATCACAATCAGAACGGCAATCGAGAATCGACGAAAACCAAGAATTCAGGGTCGATCATTTAATTCAAATCCAAGCGGCTGGTGAATGGTGTTCAACGATCTTGGCCTCATAACCCTAAAGGTGGTGAGTTCGGTCTGCAGTAGTGAGGCTGAAGACTCCCAAAACTCACAGGGTTAAACTTCTGCCCAGTAGTACTCCATTGTTTTCAATGGCTCTCTGAGTGGTCAAACTCAACTTTCAGTTTGAAAAAGTATTTTTTTTTCAATAACAGTGAATGTTTGTAGTTTAGATCATTTTTTGGGTGTGATTCTGAAGGTTGTCTGGACCTGGGTGTGGCGGTGGTGGTGTAATCATGAAGACGCTTTCATCTTCTCTCCTCTGCTTTACGCTAGACCTCATTATTTTCGATTTATCGCACTGACTTCAATTTCGGAATAAACATTTTAGAGTTCTCTATTAAAGTCATGTAACCTTCACCTATCCAGCGACCTTCATTTTGCCAATCAAAGTTTGCAAAGGCGATTAAGGACCTATTATTTATCGATTGATATTGGTTTTTTACCACGACGATATATAGAGTAGCTCTGATCTGAAATAAAGGCGTCTGAAGATCACATTCTAACATGAAATTTCATTCAGTAAAAATAACCCTGAAGTCGGTTTTGTAATACTGTCTGCTAAACACAATTGATAAAAGTTATTTGGATGAAAATATTGACGGTTCAATGAAAAGTATTTCCAACAGGCTACTGAAAACTCTCATGAACACTTACCTCAGTTCGCCTGTTGAGAAAGGATTTCCAACGAGGAAATCTTGTGGGTCGGCGAACTCAATTATGAAGAAATGAAATATTCCGCCTGACATTTTACATTAAGAAGTTAAGACACTCGGGTATAACTCAACTCTTCCTCTTACAGTTCATAAACTCTTGCATCCTACCTATTCTTCTTTATTGTTCACCCCTGCTTATTCTTTCCTGGTTTGCTTAAAAAGGACTATGTCACAATTCGTAGAATACTGAAGACTGTCAGTAGGGTGAGTGGTGTCCCAGTGGACCACATAGTTAACGTCGTTGTCGATAGGCACTTGACTTCATGCAATAAATTTGCTAAAGGGATTTTGTCTGACTTGGAGCATCCGCTTTACCCTCAGCTTTCACCTTGCATCTCCTCAAGTAGAACAAGGAGTAACTTCATAAAACTGTATGCTCGCACGTTTAAGTATAGAAATTCTATGATACCATACTTGGCACGTATTTTATGTGATGAAAATAGTGTTAGGCAAGAATTAACTAACCTTCTTTCATCTAGTAAATAAACAATTTTCCTCCATCCATGCTTACACACCTTCAAGTTTTACTTTTATTACTTCTATTATATTTATGGTCCTGTTAATTCTCTGTTTTACTCTCATAATTGCAAACACTAACTTATCTCCATGACGGCTGTAATCTATGTTTTTTCCTTCACCATATCATGTAAAGAGAACATTATACTCAATATTTTTAAACATGTTAGGATTTCTATACCACATTGCCAATACTGTGTGAAACAAGCAGCCAACGGCAATTTTCACTTGTATTCTTATTATTATTACCCTAGCTGTTATCATTATTATTGCTATTTCCATTTTATATGCTGCATGTTTTTGACACTACCTCTATTGTAAATGTGGAAAATTTTCTGTGTGATTAATTTTTATTTATAATTTGAGGAAATTAGATGCAATATTGTGATTAATGCTGAAAATTCCATTCTGTATCACAAGTAGTGTTTTTGGAATAAAGTAAATCATTATTATTATTATTAAAATATACAGAAGAAACTGATGATTGATAGGACTGAACATACTCACTGAGAAGAGACTTTTGAGAATGAAATGGCATCATACGCAATCGCAAGCAGACCGTCGGTCGAGGAGAACCTGAGTGAGAAATGACGACGCGTCAAGTATCACTTTGATGTAGATCATGTTTGGTGAAGATGAAAGCTCTCCGAGCTAACTGTCGGCCAGGAAATAAATTAGGTTAGGTTTTAGGAGTGCATCATCGGCCAGGAATTTGTCCTGATCCTCTTACGTGCTCGGTTGATGAGCATTCTATCCTTGACAGTCGCGAATAATCAATCTTTTTAAAATCGTTTATACACACTTATCCGCGCCTTTTATGAATTTGCATAAGGCGAGAACAACAGCGGTGGTTTGTGCAGACAGAGTAAAATGGGATGGGGTAGCACCATTTTGTTATTCGGTCGACTTCTCTTCAGCTGTGCATACAGCCTAAATAAATTGACTAATTAAGTTCATGTAGTGAACAATTTTCAGCATAGATGAGGTATCACTTAACAGGAAGGACTTTAAACTTCATAAACACCACTCAGAAATCACACAATTGTACCTAAAGGGAGTTGAAGTTTAAACAAAAAAATAAAAATAAAAACTCGGACACAGTGGCAAAATAGTTACGCAAAAAAACCCAGAAGGTGAGTGAGAAGGGAGTAACAATGTGATGAGTTCAGCTCACCTCAAATCATAGAAACAATTGACAAGCAAAGTTACAGAATACCAAAGGGGGGAGAGGTTAGAGCGAAAGATTGTGTAATCAAATGAAAGGGAGAGAGGGAGATTGAATATATGTAGTTATCGGGGGGGTGGGATACGAGGAAAGATTTATAACTGCTTCTTGCTGAAACAGTACACAAGCATAAGTTGGGTTTCGGACATTTAATAGCGACTGGTTGATCGAAATTGAGGCGGATTGAACTACATATTATCTATTGATAGTTGTAAGGGATTTCGTGATGTCCACCACCTCATAACCTGAACACATCAGCAAGATATCTGACAATGGCACTGTTGTGATGATAGCTTCTGTTGCCTTGAGAAATAAGCTTTTTGAGAAGTGCCTTTCTTTATGTTCTCTCCCAATGTAATTCTTACAGCAGAGGTAACATGAGAAGGGTATCTATTGACATTTCATTGCGCCAACAAGGGACATGTTCTGTTGCCTGTTAAATGGGAACTAACCAACTTAGCCGTATGAGATAAGTTATTCGGTTAGTGAGGTGTTCCTGAAGTATTTTATCACCTTTAAAATCGATTTGAATCAAAATGGGCTTTTTTCCAATTGTCAGCTGTTTGTTTAGTACTTAGAATCCTTCTTTTTTCAACATATTTTCAATGAGAACCACGAATTCTTCCTCTACTTTTTTTTTTACTGTCCGCATAGTATGTCCTCTAGACTCTATGACAATAGAGTTTTGATCACTGATCATTTATGCCTGTTTTCTAGTCTATGTATTAGATAAGTTTATATTAAATATCATATACACACAGTGATAAGATATAGTATAAACAACTGGATGACAAAGTTTCCAGCATAAATTATTGCCACTGTTAATCGTCACCCTGTCGCATTAACCCAACCTTTTGGGTGATTACATGCAAGTGAATCCAATGCAGTGGCCGACCTCTTTTTTTTCCAGGTTGTTCAACTTAACAGGAAGCAAATCCTTCTATGTCTAGTTAAATAGTTATGAACCTGAGAGGATCTAATTGACTGTGATCTACTGGTTTCATCTTTGTAAATGCATATTGGTATTTGGTAAAATAAATGTTGTTTTTCTTATTTGTGTGGTGGTGTGATACAGACAATGTCTGCCAATGGGGAATATTATTCTCACATATTCCCACAGTTCAATTTAACATTAGCAACAGAATAAAATATATCAGCATCAAAAATAAGATCCGGATTTTCAACTCCAATGTGAAGTCAGTGCTACTATACGGATCAGAGACTTGGCGAGTCATAAAGAGCATCTCAAACAAACTTCAAACCTTCATTAACAACTGTCTCCGCTCAATACTCAAGATCAGATGGCCAGAAAAGATCAGCAACAGGGATCTCTGGGAGCGAACCAATCAGGAACCGATTGTGAAACAAATAGGCAGAAAGAAATGGAGATGGATTGGCTGGCCATACTCTGAGGAAACCATCAAGTGACATCACTAGACAAGCCCTCGAGTGGAACCCGAAAGGGAAGCGGGCGGCGAGTTGGTCGTCCAAGGGTGACTTGGAGGAGGTCATGCGAGGAGGAGATGAAAGCATGTGGACAGACCTGGAGCAGGTTGAAAAAGTTGTCAGAAAACCGAAGTCAATGGAGGTGCGCAGCTGAAGCCCTATGTTCCTCTAGGAACTAAAGGATACAATAATAATAATAATAATATAATAATAATTTGAACATTTCCTTTTGATCTTAGAGACAGAAGGCTTTCCCACAGTTCAATACTACTGCATTGGCAACAAAATACTATGTTTATTTGAACATTCCATATCATGTTGTTTGATGTAAAGCGGAATCACACGCTCAGTGATTGGTTAAAGAATATAAACTGTGTAGATATGTAAACAGCGGTTTGATTAATGAATTATACACTTTGGCTTCTGTGTCTTACTTACTTTTTGTTGTTACACTTGCGTCTTAATTGCGTCCTTCAGCCGATGAAGTGTATTTCTAAATGAGTAGGATGGTTGGTTTGTTTTAATGCCAACCTGACCAGTTCCAGCCTCATTGCAAGGCATCTAACATTCCTTCCTCATACGTTAGACAGTACTACAGAGTCTTTGAATTTAATATTATTTTTATCATTTTCATTACTAATCTTATTCTTCGCCTATGCTTTCTTTTGCATTTCTGAATCAATTCTGGTGGGGGTAGCTTTGTTATTTACGAGTAACATTTTCTTTATTTTGTTTGATTTGGTTATTTAAATCATCTGGCCTACTAATTAGTCAGGCTACTCTGTCCCGATTATAATAGACATTTAACTAAACCTAACTTCGTATACAATTGGTGGATGGTGGCTAGCAGTGGAATCCAGGATAAAGCGCATTTCGTCCTAATTGGGACTCGTCAGCTGGATGTACTTGCATTTCTCAGTGAGTGATGATGTTCCCACCGAGGCTCGAACCCAGTGCCCATAGTTTCAAACGCCAAAGCGTTATCCACTAGACCACTCACTGAGAAATGCAGGTACATCCAGCTGACGAGTCCCAATTAGGACGAAATGCGCTTTATCCTGGATTCCACTGCTAGCCACCATCCACCAATTGTATACAAATCAAATCCCCAGACATCGTCGAAGCATCTGCACAAGAAGCCGACATGTCAACCTGAGACCGAACACTTCGGTCCAATCAATCGACGGGAAAATCAAAAATTCAATTCAATAATTAAACCTAACTTCCTTCACAGATTTTGGGTGAGATGAATTAAAGTCTAGTCTGGGTATTTGTTAGGATATGTGTGTGTGTGTGTGCATCGCTTTCTCCTATAAATGCCAGTATCTAACCACCCACTACTGTCTTGTTTACGTTTTATTCTACAATCTAACATGACCAACTCACCCTCTTCGTTTTTTAACTCAGAAGTGATGAATTGGATTCCGTGTACTATACAGTTTATATGTGTGGAGAAATGAGAGGTGTTATGTTCAGATTTCCACACATTAGTGAGTATGTCATCCACATGTATCTCCACCATGATCTGGGATCATTATTAAACATTCTAAGATCTCTATGTTCCCAACTGTCCATAAATATGTCTGCTTAAGGCCTCAACATAGCCAATTAAGAAAATCGATATAATTTATGAAATACCGTGTAGTGATGATTGTGAGGTCAGTTATATTATACGTCAAACTAGTAGGTCTACATCATTTCGACTATTGGAACATACACATCTATCTAGACAACTTCTACACTAACGATAATGATATTTTCTCGTTTTGCTTTATTTCAGTGGTCTAACAGACTGTTCTTATCTAACAATTGAAATATGGAAGGCATGTGAAATCGGTAAATCCACATCATCTCCCTCCTCACATCGTCATCGTAACAATTCACCTTCGAATCGTCGGCGTGGTGATGACGCTAAAAATACAAGTCCACCAGCAGCAATACGTAAAGCCATGATGACGTGTACAAGAGCTGTTGCTGAAGACGGATCAGTCTCCCCACCAGATTTTACTGCTTTTCGTAATTCGGCTATTCTGGATGACTTTCCCATAATGAATAATGGGGATGCTCATGGAGGATGTGCTGGACAAAAGCGCCGAAAATTCAAAACGTCATCGTCTACATCAAAAGTGGATAAGAAATCTACCCTAGTTGGTAAGTTGTGTGGCATATTCTTCTCGCTCTGTCTCTCTCCCATAAAGTCTCTATGGAATGCAAAGGCACATGAGTGACTTTGAGTTAACCAATCAGAAACATTAGTGGTTTTTAGACGAAAATGATAACGTTGATTATTTCTAAGAGAAATGCATGAAAACACATTAATAAACAGGATACTTTTCTGATATGACTTCAAATTATGTCCCAGTTATCATGAAGAGTGTCAGTCTTTTAGTTTACCCAGTTTTTATACATGTATTCATGCCAAGATGACCGAAGATTAGTGTTCTTTTTGTGACCCGTTTATCGCTCTTATCCTGTTTTGGAATCTCTCCCCCAGAAGTCCTCGACTGAAATGGTATTCAACGAGATCGTCGGAATGGTTCACTTGATAATGGATAACTCTTAAATCTGATAGGCGGCTGTATACCCACTCCCCCCCTTTATGCCAGTATGAATAGTAGTGTCAGGAGCGACTAACCCCTTATATAATAGGTAGAAGAGTGTGTGTCAGCACTACAATTTGGAATTACCTCTACAGTTCCCTTCTGAAGTTTAACATGTCGTAGGTTCCTAATACCCAAACGTTTTTCGCCCTAGGGTGGTTGCCACGATTATATTTCTTCTTTATGAGAGCTATTTCATCGATATGAACAATAACACTATGTTTCGTCGCCTCTCTCTAACATCAAATCGCTGCCTCTCTTTGCTATTTTATATTTTCGTGTGCCGATAAACGTCTCTTTTTATATACTACTGATAAAAATGATCAGTAGCAAGCGCCACACCATAAATTCGAACTTTGTCAACTCTTGTGGCTCTGCCGTGATTAATGCCTTCAATGAAAATGCACTTGATATCCTCGACATGGTGGAATCCCCACTGGTCACCAATTCCCACTGCGCAACTTCAGGAAATCACAGTGGCCTTTGCTGCTCAGTGGCATATTCAGTGTGTAAAGGAGCCAATGAGTTGTGTTGGACACAGGAATTGGTGGTAGCTAATCCTAAATACTTCGTTTTTCTCTTGAATGGAGGTGAGCTATGTAGCTTACCTCTGATTTAAGTTTTCTGAATTGCTTTTTTTTTTAACTTTTCGGTTATATTAATACTTCAGAATTTTCTTCATGAGCTGATATTATAGTTGGGGATCCATTGGAAAACTAGCGACAGGGAGTACTGGACAACTATCTGTCTCGTCAATCTAGTCTGGGACTCTTCATCAGTACGCATCTACTCCACTGGGGCTTGAAACCCCATTGACCTTCCGGTTACAAGGCGAGCTTATAGACTATTCGGTCAATGGGATCTGACTCAATGGCCATCTCATGAATTTCGACTTCTGCGAATTCATGATATAGTGCAAATGAAACTAGGTAATGTCATCAAGTAGCGAGTATTTGTCCTTAAGCCCGCCCAGCCTGCTGTACCCTACTGGTTACTTAATACATAACCTCTGAATGGTGCATTAAGAAGTGCACCACACAGGGGGTTGAAATACTCTGCCACGAAGCTCACAGTGAAGTGGGTGATGGTAGTCTTAAGAAATCACCCCACTTTTGAAGTCTTATCCAAAAAGTAGTGGAGTAGCGTTAGGAGTTACCTTCCTATAGTTCCTGGTGACCAAAACAGGTTCATACGTCATGCAATCCATTTAGAATCTTGGAGCCTGTGTTGTACATAGTAGATTTGAAGTCAGGGTTTTCCAGCCTCCTTTAACCATGTTTGTAAGCCAGCATGTGTCACATACATGTCCGGTGGTGTTGTAAGCTTTAGGCATTGGCTGTTCACACTCACCCTCTCACACTATTGTGAGTAACACACACACCCCCACGTGAAAGTAGTTAATAGGCATGGGCTATAAATACGTGACCACATGACAGCATCTCCGGGAGGAAGACCGGAGTCTACTCGCTCTCGGCCCTATAAAGTAATTTATGAAGGCATCGTATGTGTGCGAGGCTTTTTGATGGCAGATACAGAAGCAGTCCTTTTCTAATTTCTTGGCGATATGCATGCTTGTGAACTCTTCGCTATACCGTTTTCATTTAATAGCTGCAAAAATACAGTTTCAATTACATCTGAAGGTGTACCACTGACTGTGTCACCAGCAGGTAAGGATACTCATGGGATGTATACTGCTGCTTCAGTCCCTCACAATTTGATTCATACAAGATAGGCAAAATAATGAATACAACTGAAATTTCAAGACTCAGACACTGGCGCGGATATGCTGACGCCATTATTGCAAAAAAAAATTGGAAGGAAAGAAAAGTGCCTAATGATTGGAAAAATGGCTGGCCCCCTTGAAGGACGACTTAAGCCTCAGCAAGAACTGAATGGCGCGGGAAAATGCTCTTGTCCACATCAAGTAAAATACTAAGTCACATCATCCTGGAGAAAGTAAAATATGCACTGGATGCAGAACTCCGCCAGCTGGTGCAAGCTTGACACAGAAAAGCCAAATCATATGCTGATCAAATTGCACCTCTACGTATCGTCATCACAGAACAAAGCATAGAATGGCAGTAAAACCAGTACCTTTACTTCATCGATTTCTAAAAGACTTTTGACATCGCTGACCGAGAAGTAATTTGAAAAGTACTTTAACACTACGGCATGCAGTGCCGCATTCAACAGCTATATGATATGACGGTGGCACGTGTCAGGTGATCCACGACGATAAACTCAGCGAGGCGTTTGAAGTGTATACAGAAGTAAGACAAGGCTGTGTGCCTATTATCACCACAAATGAGATATTCTCACTTGTGGTAGGCTGGATTATGCCTCAGATCATAAGTAGGGAGTGACTCCTCTTTACCATTATATGCATACATTTATTTTGTTTTAACTTGAACTGCCTGTGTAAAAACTATATAGGCGCAATTTTCTGAGCACTGTTCACTAATTATGGAACTTTCTGTCAACTGTGACAACATGTAAAATTTGTAAGTATGTTAAAACTTTTGTGTACGTAAACCTCATGATTTATTTAGGCTGTAAACAGTTGAGCTGATGAGAAGTCAACGAAATAAAGGATGGTACCATTGTTATTTTGCACAAACCTCCACTGTTGTTCTTGCTTTAGTCAAAGATAGGAAGACTTTGGACCGATAAGAAAACTGTAGGAGATCTGGATTTCACTCATGGATGATGTATGTCTAATGCCACACAAACTCGACTTAACAGGCGTATTATGTACTCGTCGCCAATTTAATATGTTATGGACTGGTCGAGAATATAATAGTCCTGACGCAAGAAAGACGGAAGGAAATCAGAAGACCACTAGGTTTGCGATGATACTTCTATTTTCCAAACACAAGGAGAATCAATATGTGTCACACAAGAGTGTGAGAGCAAAATATATATGAATGTCCAAACAAGTGTGTGAACACAAGTGTGTGTGAGCGAATATTCAAAATGAACAAATTAAATAGACAGTCTTAACATGATTGACTAATTATAATGGAATATCGATCCATATATACATAGCAAAATATATCAGACTGTCAAACAAAACACACATGTTATGTGGATATATATATCAAGGCGAAAACTAACAAACTGGCAGAAGGCGTGGAGGTGATGAAGATAACCAACCACCACCACCACCACCACCGCCAACAACAACAACAACCAGCGCCAATCACTATCAGCATGAGAAATGTGAACAAGGTTATCTACTTCAATTATCTGGTTAGAAAGTATCGTTTCAACTACAGTTAGCGGAACGGATGAAGATTTCAAAACCAGCCAGCTAGAATTGGAAAGGCAAGATACACACGCCTTCATCAATTTGAAAATCTTCTGCACTCAGCGTGAAGAACAAGATTCGCATTCTGTTCAACACACAAGCGTGAAGTCAGTCAGTGCTTCTCTCTATGGGTCAGAAACTTGGCTAATGAATCACATAAAAAAAAACATTTCCGACAGGCTACACAGGCCTTCACTGCATAATGAAGATCAAATGGCCGCTGGAAAGAATTTTAGCAAGAAACCAACTACCAATTGGTCGCTAAACAAATATTCTGAAGAAAATCAAGGTGAATCTGGCACATAATGAGGAGGAGACTGTCGAATGACATCGGGCACTAGTCAGGCTATCATCCGAGCAGAATTCGGATGGGAAACGGTAAGTTGAGCGAGTGAGTCCTTAGTGCAACATATGGGAGTTCATGTGAGTTGGAGGAGGTAAGAGACTTTGGACAACTGTTGGGCTAGCAAGTCATCTGAAGAAGACAGTAGAAAACAGAATAAAATGGAAATATACCACGGCTGTTGAAACCCAATGTTCTATTCAGAACCTAAGGGAACACTAAATAAATTATAAATCCCCGTATTTATGGGTTTTTAAATGACGGGCTTTGTTTTCCCTGGTAGTCTTCTCTAAATTCAGGTTTCAGTCACTTCACAAACTGGTCTTAAGCAGTCAAATTTGCAGTGGAAAAAAAAACTAAGACTTGAGTTGATTGACTAAATATTTGTCTTATAAATCCCACTATATTCATGTTTTTTTGCGTTCCGTTTGTTTCCATAGCAACAATCAATATTAATCTATTAGATATTTCAAATTCAGGTGATGTTGAGAGTTGGTATTCTCCAGACTCAACAAATAATCCTAATGCCAGTAATAATTCAATAATGCTTTCAAGTTGTTTGAAACATCAGTCTTCAGATCCGAATGAACTTGTACCTGTGCAACAAAAATCAAAATCTAAGGCTAAATCAAGATCTAGTCGTGATCCAATTACAAATTGTGTTCAAATACGCGTGAAAATACGTTATCGTGCTTTGACTGTCTTACCGCTAACAAGTTATGCCCGCCTAGAAGCAAATTTGTGTCAATTTCAAATGCCTAAGACATTTCAACGGCAAGAGCATCAACTGCTACAGATGACTGGTTCTACGCTATTGTTCAATGGCTCAAATTCTTTGACTACATCAATATCACAGAAGCCGGATTTAATTCAACTGTTGTCAAGCCTAGATCCATGGTTAAACGTGAAAGCAAAAGCTGAGTTGGCCGGTGCTATCGTAGTTTTACAACAGGCTAGAGGACAAGTGATTGAATTTTTGGCAAGCCTTATTTTATGTGAAGTTAGGAAACAGAGTGAGTTTTAATGATTGTTGTTTTTGTAACGATTTATCGGTTTATGCGATCCTCGTGATTACTATTAGTATTATTGTTCTTTCGGGTCCCAAGAGAAATATAGGGCTATGGGTGGGGCTGTACGATTGCCAATTAGCCAGCCCTCATCCGCTGATCATATAATCTCCTCCATGTCTGACTGACTAAATGGTTCCAGCATTGAACTTTACACAGAAGTGAATCAGTACTTCAATTTGTCACAATCCATGGTACACACAGAGGAAAGCAAAAGAGGGAGAGTGAACAGAGATTCGAAACGATGATAATAAGCAGAAATGCTACGGTAGAAAGAAAGAATAGTAACCTGGGAAACAGATAGAGTTTTAATGAAGATTACACGGGAAGTGAATAGATATGCACCACTGAGAATGATGATTTTGAGCCACATCACTGTCAATAGTCTCCAGTCGTCATTGGTTATTACCATCTTGAGGACCACAACCCCGGGTAGGCAGACAGTCTACACCTCCCTACGTGGCGACTGGCTGGCTGGCTGGCTTGTTGGTTGGTTGGCCGGCTTAAACTTACTATTGTTATGGATTTCACTGACTGATGTAGCCATATTTTGGTTAGACCACCCACCACTAACTAACTCTATTCCAACCTGATCTTTTGTCAGCTAACATTGCCTATCAAAATACTTTTGAGGTTTTTATTGGTGTCGTTATGATCTGTTGTCGCATTTTTCGTTTCACAATCACAGTTTGTTATGCACAAACACAAGGAAAGAATATACCTAAAGTATGAATGTGAAGTTACATCTGCAAACTCATGTACACACATTAGCTACATTGGTTCCAAAGTTCTGGATGTGACACTATAATTAACGTTGCCTTCGTGTATGTGCAAATTTCACTATGGCAGTTGACATAACTATAGAAATTTCACATCTCAATCTGGTTGTCTATTGATGGATTGAACATTAGACTTATGTATGCCGCCTTGTTTCAACTAGAAGCGAAGTTAAGAATGAAGATATCAAAGCCAAGAAGTCAGATTATGAAGAAACAACCAGACAGACTGCCATTAATCCGAGATCACTATGGAAGTCTTCTGCATTCGTCTATCAGTAGGTAGAGAAAGATGAGGATTATCGTCACTAGTGTGAAATGAGTTTTTCTATATCGTTCAGAGACTTGTAGTCTGTGTCTGTACACGCGTATGTTTGTGCCACGAAAAGCGTATCTCACATGGATACTTCTGTAGACTGCAAAGCTTAGAGGCAATCGTGGATCCAGCTTTCAAATGAAGACTTTCGAGAATAGGGTGAAGTCGAGATGTACTCCCAATAGTCTGTCTGTCTGTTTTCGACATAGAACTTTGCACAAATGTGCGGAAGTTCAAGTCGCCACATTCCGTGTAGCACGCGAAGCAAGAGAAGAAAGTACAAGAAAAGCATAATAGAAACAGTGAGCAGAGGTGTGAGACAAAGGAGTAATAAAGAAATACAAAACAGTTTCATTGAAGATCATAAGTCACAGGGAGTGGATGCATCTGCGCTAGCCACTGAGAACGATTTTGACCCATGTCACCAATTGTTTCCAACCATAGATTTTTACCGTCCCGAGGACCCCAACCAGTCAGGAAGTCTACACCTTCCTACGTGACTGGCTTAGACCAACTGTTGTGGATTTCATTGACTGGTGAAGCCAAGTTTTTGTTTGACCGCCGCTAGCTTTTTTCCAGTCTGACCCTATATCCGCTAACATTGCTCGTCGAGGGAGGTGATGGCTTGGCATACGTAACACATGTCCTAACCATCTCAGTCTTTGTAGCTTCACGACTTCGTCGATTGATTTCCCCTGTTTACCTAGAACTCTACGTCTAACCTCCATGTTGCTCACCTTATTATGCCACTTTACACAGGAAATAGAACGCAGGCACCTATGATCAAAGACAGCTAGTCTTTTCATGTCTTCCACTCTCAGTGGCCAGGTCTCACAACCATACAGGAGGACGGAGCGGACTGATGAGCAGTACACCCGCCCTTTGGTCAATAGTCGAACATCTCGTCTACGCCAGAGTCGGCGTAAACTAACAAATGCGAAACGAGCCCCTTGTATTCGTGCTGAGATTTCGTCAGAGATCAGTACTCCGTAATAGTGATAATTTGTTATAGAATCCATTCAGAGACAAATCTAGTGTCGTTTGTCAGAATAAGCGTTCTTCATTGATTGATATTCTCAAGTTATATCAAACAGAGTGAGAGACTAGTAGAGATGATAGTTTAAAATAGTAGGAATTTCAATTCAATCGGCTGTTTTGATCATAATCTACAAAATCGGGCACACATACATGAGCTGTAGTGACACGAACGAAGCCACCTATACACAACCTCTCCGCTATGATTAAAGTGTGAGTTCGAAAAGGGTTTTGGCAACGAAAAATGATACATTGTCAAAGTACTCTATACGCACTAATCGTAGTGGGTGACGGTAAAGGTCTCCTGTACAGATAAAGAATCCTAATCTCTTTATCTTTGAATAGGTTCTGTGTGTGTGTGTGATCAGCCTGAAGCTGTATTAAATGCACTTTTCTTCAGAAATTTTCACCTCAACTAGAGAAATCCCACTTTTGAGGCAATTTTTTTCACAAGGACAGCATCGTTTCGACTGCAGACATTCGAGTCGAGGATGAAGGAAAATGTCAAAATCACCAGGTCAGAATGGGGAAAACAAGACAGTCAAATTAATCTGACTGAAATCACTCCGTAGTCAGGTAGAAGACCCGGATTGGGGACACTGATGTCAAGTCAGTTGGTGCTCCTGTATGGTTCAAAAACTTTTCGCGTGACCGAAATAAATCATTCCCGAAATAGGCTACTGTAGACATATTTTCAACAGCTGCCTTTCGCATCATAATGAAAATCAGATAGATGGCTAATCGGAAAGAATAGCCAGACAAGAAGGTATATTGGCAACAAGGCAACCAACGACCAAATTGAACAACAAATATACAGAAGAAAATGTGGAAGGTGGATCGAATTCACACGGTTGAGTTTAACCTGATTAAGAGAGAACGAGTTGATTGTGTAACCGATGTTTATACAAAGGGGATGAGGGCTTTTACGTGTAACTGTGAAGCTAGTTCTATTCCACTATCCCACCTGAAATCCGAGGGAATAATACTGATAACAATAATTTAGTATGGAACTCATCGTGAATGAAATTTGATTTTCGAACTTTTTCAAATAGATTCTTCTGTTACTTTTCATTCATTTTTTTGTAATTGTTCCCAATTGAATAGCTTCTTGTACGACATTAGCCAGTAGTCTAAGCCTAATGGTCTTACATTAAATCCCTCTACTAAATGTCAAACAGTTAACTTCACTGTCAGATATAAACGTGATCTACACGTGTGGTGAGAGCAGACTGCTAGCCGATTGGTTGACACTAATCTATGTTAATGTCTAGGTCACTAATATGGGCCGTGAGAAAATATGAACAAGGCTGTTTCAACAACCAATCACAGCAAACTTAAATGTGGACAAATATGATTCGCAGATAGATGGCTCTACTTTCCGAGAAATATCGAAAACAACCAATCATAAGACTGTGTTTGTCTGCTTAACTTCCGAGAAACAACCAATCAGAAGACTGCCTTTTTCTGCTTGCATAAGCCTTATTAATGCACATAAAATATATATAAATACGTGTTGATTTTCGTAATAAAACGATCTGTTGCCAGCCCTTGTCTTCTGTTGTTACACACGAACTCATTAGTTCTCACGATGCTTGTAGCATAGAGGGCACTGTTTAGACAAGAGATCAAGTCAACCATAAAACACCTTGGTATTATTCTATCCTCTAATCTTTCTTTGTCGGTCATCCTATATCCTGTCTATTCCCATGAGAATGCTCTGTCTAACCACCTTCTACATTAATAAGTTAAGACAATCTGGAATTACTCAACGTTTACTTCTACAACTTGTTAACTCTTGCACCTCACTTATTATTCTTCATTATTGCTCCCCCACACTTAGTCTTTCCGGGGCTATTCGAAAAAGACGATGTCACTTTGGGAGAAGGGTCTAGAAGGTACCACTGCTTAGTCAACTCGTTACTATCCAATGGCTGGAGACAATTAGTTGTGTGGCTCAAAATCGTTCTCAATAGTGCAGATGCATCCACTCCTTGCAATTTAGAATATCCAATAAAACTATATGGTTCTTCTATATTACTATTCTTCTTGCCTCATATCTCTGTTTACTGTCTCTGTTTTGCATTTATTTTTTTTTTTACTTTCTCCTCTTGCTTTGTCTGCTAAGTGAAGTGTGGTGACTTGAACTGCTGCACATCGGTTCAAAGTTCTACGTTGAAACCAATCAGTCAGTCGTTACTATCACAGTCAACAGACATCTGAATGACTCATATGAGAAACGGCATAAATCCATATTGTCTGACTATATATTAGCACCCTCTCTATTCACAAATCTGCCTATCCTTTGCTACATTTCATCAGGTAGGACTAGAAGTCATTATGAATGATTACATGCTAGTCCGCACGACCAAGTATACGGCCAAGTATACGATAACCTTATTCACACGTCCACCCCTCCCGCGTTCTGTTTGATAAAGATAGTGTTAAACGTAAAACTTACGACTTACTGTGTAATTGGCATTCAAAACAATGGCTTAATTATTCTTCCATATTTGTAATTTTATGGTGATATATATGGGTAACATTTTACGGTGAGATAAAGGGACTGAGATGGAGTAAGAGACTAGTATCAACATCCTGAAATTTCGGGGCTGTATATAGTAAAATTACGGTTCACCGTGTCTACTTTGAATTATAATACTTTAAGAGGTTTTTATGACGTTATGATCTGTCAGATATCACATTCCAGATTTCGTTTTTTCACTGATCATGTTTCACAATCACAGTTGGTTATAACACACACACACAGAAGGAGAGGAGAAAGGAAGGTGCCTAATGTATACAACACTCTGCCACTGCATGAGCTCGCTAATACTATAGTCGAGAGGCATATAAATTCCTGTACGAAATGGGCAAAGGCTATAATGTCAGACCCTCTGCACCCGCTTTATTCACACCTGTCCCCTTGTATCTCATCAGGTAGGACGAGAAGTCAATATAAAAAGATATATGCTCTTACTACTAAGTAAAGAAATTCTACAATACCCTATTTAGCGCGTACTTTATGTGACGAAGACTCTGTTAGACGTGAAACTTGCAAGTTACTATGTAATTAGCACAGTGAATCGACCCTTTTATCGTTCATCTTTCTGTATTTTATGGTGTTACACTTTCTATCGTTTAAATCGTTACTCTGCTATTTTATATTAGTTGATATTACTATTATTACTACAATTTTGTACTTTATGTATATTTTTCTCCGTATGGCACACAGTATTTTGCTACGTAGCTGCTACAACAATCGTTTTATTACTATTATGTATTGTGTATTTTTAATTTTTTTTTTGTCGTTTTTGGGTAAATTAGATGCAATATTGTACTGAATGCTGAAAATTCCTTGCTGTATCATGAGTACTGTTTTTGGAATGAAGCAATTATTATTATTATTATTATTATTATATTATTATTATTATTATTATTATTATTATTATTATTATTATTATTAAGCGTGAGCATGGATCGGGAGAAAGAGGTGCGGACACACAGTCTCTCTCTCTCTCTCTCTGGCACACAGATAGACACACACGCATATACTTTCAATAAATATACATATCTGTCACATTAATATACGCACACATGCACATATGCACATATCAACACACACTTGTTTCGTGTCAAGTGAAAGATTAAACGTCAGAACGCCTTGTTTCAGTTAATCTCAATATCTTTCTGTCTGTATAAACAGATATGTTTTTGAGAAGTGTGATTTTACGTAGAATCACTACTGTATTCTGTGCGTAAACCTACACTCCCATACACATGTTGGATCGATATTTTAGATAAATTCTTACTTTCGCCACCTGTCTGTTCGTGTGTGTGTGTGTGTGTGTGTGTAAAACTTGGCTTCAATTTTTGTTTGATAGCAGTGAATTGAGATTTGTCTGATTGACTGACAGATTGATTTTCAAGTTTTGATCATGAGGTATAATTGACATGATGAGTTAGAGAGAGAAAAAAGACTGTTGGCAACCGTCAGGTTGTTGGTGGAAGTGCAGGAGTGTACGCTGGTCAATAGTGTCTTATCCTCCGTCAAAACATTATCCACTACACCATTTGGGTGTTTCAAACTATGGGTACTGGATTCGAGCTCCGGTCGGAGAGAACACCAGCATTCATTCACTGGGGGGAATGCAGTTACATTTAAGTAACTGACGACTTAGCCCAAAAGAGGAGGGTGAAATGCGAATCACGCTACATTCCACACACCGCTAGTCACCAACCTCCAATTTATTGCAAGTTGAATAATCAGACATCGTCGAAGCATCTGTACAAGGAGAGGACATGTCAGCAACAGAGGCCGAGCAATTCAGTCCGATCAATCGGCGGGAAAGTCCAAAAATGATCCTATCCTATTAGTTTAGGGACTGACTGCTCAGAAGTACACAATCATGACCCTACTGTGGGCAGTATGATCACATCACTGAGGATTGCAACTTGAATCTTCTGGTCATGTGGCGGCAGAATGCAAAGACTGACGAATTCTTAGTTCTTTCGATTCATGATACATATATAGCCATGTTCAGGCAAAGTCATCGTTGCCTCATGCCCGACGAATTATTTGGTTGATTCTAAACTGATTACAACCCGCCTCACTAGAACTACAGACCAAGACCAGTATGGCCTACAATATGTCATTGTTTGTGAGGACAAATAATAACCAATAATTTATCGGCTATTGATGGCGCTGTGTACATTGTGAATTGATATGAGTTAGAATTCACAGACCACTGGATTCCTCTCTATCCCAGTATGTGAATGTTTTACAACCTCACTTTATAAACCTGAAGACTCTGGGTTGAATTCCCCGATGTTGGGGTCATGGGTCATATATGCTGCTGAAGAGGGGTCGTAGAGTTACAAGGAAACACTTTCAACTGACTGACTAACTGGTTTCAACATACAACTTTACACACATGTGCAGCAGTTCCAGTTGCCACATTCCCTCTTCCCGTAGCACACTATTATGTACTCGTCGCCAAATTATTGTTATGGACTGGTCGAGAATTTAATAGTCCTGACGCAAGAAAGACGGAAATCAGAAGACCACTAGGTTTGCGATGATACTTCTATTTTCCAAACACAAGGAGAATCCAAGTCACACAAGAGTGTGAGAGCAAAAATATATATGAATGTCCAAACAAGTGTGTGAGCGAATATTCAAAATGAACAAATCAATAGACAGTCTTAACATGATTGGCTGATTATAATGGAATATCGATCCATATATACCTAGCAAATAAACAGACTGTCAAACAAAACACACATTTTATATGGATATATATCACACACAAAGAAAGGGAAGACAGAGAGAGTAAAGATAGATTGAAAGGAGAGAGAGAAAGAGAATAAACAGAAGTGTAAGTGAGATAAAGGATAGTAGTTTATTCCTCCTTTCAGGTTCCCCAATGAAACATAGGGCTTCAAGCTAGTGGTTTGTGTTTAATTTTACAGGATGGGATTGCTAGCCTCATGCCCAACCTTTCCTCTTTACCAGCATTATTTCTGGCTTAGCGAGGTAAAGGAGTGTGTCGGCCAGGGATCGAACCCCGGACCGTGTACATGGTCGGCGAGCGTCCTAACCGCTATGCCACCGACGTGCCACGACTAATTAATGTGAACATTTTAATGGATAACACTGTTCAGGGAAATAAAACAGATCCAGTTCTCTAGAATTACACCAAAAGAAAGCCCCAATAAACAACCCTGATACGACAGAGGGAGGGCAGACCTCAGTCTGCTTCTCGATATCCTCTCCATGCATATACTCATATTTCGTACCCTTACCAAACACTACGTCTAACCTCTCTATATTACTCACGATTTGATACAGCTTAACACGGGGGATAAAGAAGTAGCACCTTCAGGTAAATATATACAACATAATCTACTATCCCCTAAAGCTTAACTTCTGTCGGCTGGTGGCGATATATGTAGAGAACCACCATCTGTCAGTGTCATCGGTGAGTATTCACCCACCACACCCGGTGAATTGGTGGACCCAAAATTGGTCAGAGATGTTTCTACTGATCAGATGTTGGAGCTCTAAAATGAACTCCTTTAGGACTGTAATTCATATTTTGACTATTCAACACACTAGGTAGTAACTAATGTATGTTATGCGCCTTCAGTCCATTAAGTTTGTGTGTTGGTGCAGATCAAATCGAATGTCACAGTCAACTTTGCTGAAATGTAGCTATCATGTAGTTACGTCGTGGCCTCTCATCACAGTAAGCTCTGAATTGTTGTTGTTTTTGTTGCTGTTAGATGATTTGTTGGCAAGTTGGTCACAGGAAGCCATGGACAACTAGTGAAAGTTGTGTTAACGACCAGTGAGGTCCTCCACGAAGTCAGTTAAGTAACAGGATAGCTACTCGCCGCTGATAACATTGGCTGACTGACTAGTGGCGGTTGCGCTACATACATATCATGAAGTTGGAATTCCTGGCACCAACTATTTGATCAAGTCCCGAAGGCTGTTAATGGCCGCCAACCAGCTCGCCTTGTAACTGTGGAAGGTGTCGCGAGTTCGAACCTCGATGCTGGGTGCGTACTGTTAAGGAGACGTTCTGGAGGTTGCGAGGATGAAATAGCTGTCCAGTGGTACCTAGTGGTTTTCGAATGGTTCCCTAACTAGAATCAGCTCCTGATCAAATCTGTAATTAGTTGAATTCCTGCAAACCATCCCACTTGAAAAGGCTATTTCTCACTGTTCTTCTCCTTCTATTTTCAGCTGATCCAAATATGGTATTACGTGCTAACAGTATAGCCACAAAAGCTACAGAGATCTATTTACGTCTTGTCGGTGGTTCGTATTTGCCAACAATACTCTCCGACTTCGTGAAGATAGTTATCTCTGGTATCCCTGTTGATCCACTCTTGGTGATAAACAATCGTCAACATCCTATTGATTATGAAGTTGATATTTCGAAGGTGCAAACCTCTTCTCAATTGGCACAAAATCAAGTGAATTTGCTAAGTTTAGTTGAACTTGTATGGAAAAAGATTTTAACAAGTGAAGATAAATTTCCAGAGTAAGTTCCTGTTTTAATAAAAAAAAAATACCGATTTGGATTATCATTATTATTGTATTATTCTGACAGTAAAACCTCTATCATCAATTTCACCGACTAATTTTGATGGACTGGAGATTATGTGACAGACTGTGATTGGGAAGTGAGAAGACAGGAATACGTTGTCCTGATAAAAGGGATGTAAAAGATCTGGGCTTTGTAGATGACTTACTTCTAATATCCTTCACCTCTACATCTCTGAGTTTCTGTGACATTAGACATAAATTGTTTAAAAAGTCCAGATTCATCTTGTTGATTGAAGGAATTCCAGTCTCCTAGCTCTCTATGGTCTCCCTAATGATCCAGTCCCCTACAATTAGGAATACATTCGGGGTTGACAGTAGGCAGCTTGCCTTATCTTACTGTCGCTGTCTTCACTGCTCACTTCAAAGTCAGGCTTCAATAATGACTAGATTTTCCATTGTGAATCATTAGTTGACATATGGCTTCACTGTCAAGTAACTAGCTGTCGTTGAATTAGATTGATAAGAATTTAACAACACTGCACTCTGTATAATATTGATCAGTCAGTTTATAAATCACTCTGCATAAAGCGAGAACAACAGTTTGTGCAGAATAAAATGGTACTATCTTTATTTATTTTGTTGACTTCTCATCAGCACTGGGTATACAGCCAAGAAAAATTACTAAGTTTATATCCAGAACAATTTTAACATACTTGCAAATGTGATGGTATGATGTCAGTTGACAGGAGGTGCCAAACTTAATGAACAGTGCTCAGAAAATTATACTTATATAGTTTAAACAAAAATCAATGTATGCCTACAAATTTAAAGAAGTTACGTGAGGTCAAAGCAAAATATTACATAACTGAATGAAAGAGAGAATAAAGACATTGGGTTACTAGGTCAAGGAAAGACTGATAACTACTTCTTTGTAAACACATAAATTGGGTTTCAGGCGTCTGCTAAAGATTGCCTCGACAAAGTTGATGAGAATTGAACTATTTTGTCCATTGGTAATTGTAAAAGATTTCCACCTAATGACCCATATCAAGAAGGTACCTGGCAGTGACAGAAGTTAGAATTCACGGGCCATTGAATCAGATCCCAGTGGTTTAATGGTCTACGCGCTAGCTCGCTTTGTAAGCAGAAGGTCGTGGCTTCGAACCCCTGTGGTGGCTGCGTACCGCTGAAGAGTCCCAAACTAGGACAACAGAAGACAAGGGGCAGGCAACAGATTATAAGGATAGAAGGCTCTTGTTGCCTTTCTTTATCCTCGCGATATATATCTCTGGAGAGATCCAGTTTCTGTTTGAAAGTGTTCACCGATGGAGCTGTTACTACTGAATCAGGTAAGGAGTTCCAGTCGTTGACCACTCTGTGAGAGAATCTAAACTCCAACCGTATTTTATTCGACTTCAGTTTGAGCACCTTCTTCTGGTGACCCCGTAAATGTATCTTGTGATACATTCTTCCTCGACAAAGTTGGAGTCACCAGTGGACAATCAGTGACAAAACGCTTAACAACGAAGCACACACACATTGTAATTGTTATCCAAAATATACACGTCAAATAGGTCAAGCAACGTATTAACAGCATTCATACTAATAAGCAATTGACGGACACTTGATTGAGTGAGAACTTCAGGTTTCAGATTCAGATTATAAGAATAGGGGTTTATCAGTGGTTCTCTAACTGATATCAGCTCATCATGAAATCCTGTAAACAACTGTTGTGAGCGTTTGTTCCCTTGAGAGGTAGGCTTTTCGGTATGTGTTGAGAAAATCAGAGGTTTGTCCTTCTTTCTATTCTCCCAATACAATTGCTCCCGCAGATACGCATAAATTTGTATACACAGTTGGAGTTAACATGAAAAGTATTTCTGTCTACTTTTGATTGCATCAAAGTGCAAATTATTTCACAGTTAACTCTGTCTAAGGCTCCTTGAGGTGAAGAGTGACTACTTGACTGCTGCTATTCTCTACTCTGTTTCTGTTTGGTGATAATGATGATGATGGTAATTGTGCATAATTCTGTTTCCAGAATAATAATCATAAATATTTTAATTGCATTTATTCCCCTTGATAAATTTGAATAAACCGAGAACAACATTGATTTGTGCAGAATAACATGGTACCATCATTTATTTCGTTGGCTTCTCGTCAGCTGCTTACAGCCTAAATAAATTTTCAGGTTTAAGTACAGAAACGTTTTAACGTACTTGCAAATTTTACATGTTGACAGAAAATTTCACAACTAGTAAACAGTGCTCAGAAAATTGCGCTTATATAGTTTTTACACAGGCAGTTCAAGTTAAAAAATAATAAATAAATGTATGTATATAATGGTAAGGGATGTGCGTTGGATGCATAGTGACTAATAAGTTTGGTAACAATGTACTGAGTTGAACTCAAATCATAGAAACAAGAGACAAACAAAATTACAGATTATAAAAGGAGGGTGAGGTTAAAGACAAAGATTACGCAATCAGATGGGAGAAAAAAGACATCCAGTTACCAAGGCAAGGAAAGACTAATAACTGATTCTTTCTGAACACATAGATCTGGTTTCAAGCGTTTGATAGAAATTGCTCCTCAAGTTTGCCGAAGCAATTTCTATCAAACGCTTGAAACCAGATCTATGTGTTCAGAAAGAATCAGTTATTAGTCTTTCCTTGCCTTGGTAACTGGATGTCTTTTTTCTCCCATCTGATTGCGTAATCTTTGTCTTTAACCTCACCCTCCTTTTATAATCTGTAATTTTGTTTGTCTCTTGTTTCTATGATTTGAGTTCAACTCAGTACATTGTTACCTAACTTATTAGTCACTATGCATCCAACGCACATCTCTTACCATTATATACATACATTTATTTATTATTTTTTAACTTGAACTACCTGTGTAAAAACTATATAAGCGCAATTTTCTGAGCACTGTTTACTAGTTGTGAAATTTTCTGTCAACATGTAAAATTTGCAAGTACGTTAAAACGTTTCTGTACTTAAACCTGAAAATTTATTTAGGCTGTAAGCAGCTGACGAGAAGCCAACGAAATAAATGATGGTACCATGTTATTCTGCACAAATCAATGTTGTTCTCGCTTTATTCAAATAAATATTTTAATTGCATTTCATACTACTATTATTATTTTATGCATTCACACCTATGTTTCAATCCCCTCACCGGATGTAATTCTTAAAAACCATATATATACGATTGTACAGCTGTTGAGAATAAATTCGTTGAAATGAGTCTCTTCGTTGAATCACTTGTTCTGATTACTTATTTTTACTGTTGTTTTCCCTATTTCCTTTTTTCTCTCTTCTTCTTTATTCAGACAATTTCGAGCCTTATTTATCGAAATTAGACAATATTTAGACGGTTCAAAAGGGTCCTACTTATCATCAACATCAGTGAATTCCAATGTCAGTAGTAGTAACGTGAGTGTCATCGGTGTCGGTGTTGACAATGGCAATGGTACATTGTGTGAACATGTCATCTCAGCTTGCCTTTTTCTACGTTATATATGTCCAGCTATCCTTTCACCATCATTGTTCAATTTAACCCATGAATTCCCGAGTGAATCAAGAGTACTACGGGCATTTACTCTGGTAAATTTCCACTCAGTATATTTTATTTCTTTTTTTTTTTTGCTGTGAAGTTTCTGTTCTGATGATTGGATTGCCTTTTTTGCGGGGGGCGGGGCGGGAGAAGTGTCACTAGCCACTACACGACCCCCACGCCTTCCCCAGCCTTTGATTCTCTCATCTTTTTCTGATACGTTTAAGACCGATGGGCCAGTGTAATGTAGGTGAACATAGTGACTTAAAACAGCAACAGAAACCGATCAATAGGAAGCAGCATCGTTTCAACTGCGGGCGTTTTAGCACAGACGAGGATGTCAAAAAAGGCAGTTAGAATCAGAAAAGCAAGAGAGACACCTTCACTTCTCCCAAAATCAGTACAAGGTACGACTCTACGAATATCAAATTAAACTCTGTCGTTTTTCAGCAACTGCTGACCACCTCTTTCTCTCTCGATATTTGAAGATCAGATGTCCCACAAGGCTGGAAAGGATAAGTAATAAAACACCATGTCAACGAACTAGTCAATCAAGAATTTATCACTTGACAAATAAGGATGGATGGATGAACTGAGTGAACAGACGTTAACGACACTGTCTAGTGATACCGCGCAACAGTGGAACCCGAATAGAGAAAATAAACAACAATTTTGGCCTCTGTATCGGAACGTGGTGACATGGTGGAAATCGTGCAGGGTGGGCAAGAAGCAAACAAAACCCTACAGTTAATCGTAGAGTAAGGTGAAAATGACACCAGAGAACAGAGTGAAATCAAGATGTCATACTTTGTCCCAACTTGAAACTCTGTTAGATAGATAAAATGAAGTTGTTAATCCTTACTAATTGTAATAGTAAATTAGTAATTGTCTCATTTTGGACACATAATTCAGACCTCTCTCATTAAATGGTAATACCTCCCGCCTAAGAGCGAAGTCACCGGTTGAGTATTCAGCGGTGACATGGAGTAGTAGATCATGTCTGGAGGAAATGAAAGCCTATGGGCTGTCGTCACATAGCCAGCTGAAAGTAGCGGCTGGAGACGGAGTGAGATGGACATATGTCACTGAGACTATATTTTTCCACTCAGAACTCAGAGAATGACTATTAATTATCATAAAAGCACTTAAAGTGAAATATTTTCTTTTCAAACGAATTGTTCAAAGGTGAGAAAAGGAGAAGTGTTCATGATTCGACCAACTTTCCTATGTTATAAGAAAGGTGACAGATGATTTATCTCTTTTGGTTATATTTTTTAAGTGTTATTGATGAGTTCTTCCTGAATAAATCAATAAATTCCCCATTAAAATTAGTCAGAGGTTTATACAATTACATTAGAAGTCATTACATTACAGGTCATTACAAGTTTCTTCCCGATTCATAGTTAAGGTTAAGGTAGGATTAATGTAGAGTTTTGATTAACTTTAAAGCGAAACTTGAAAAAAGATTATGAAAAACACCCATTTGTAATCATGGGCAACGATCTGATTGGTTGTTTCAAGCTGTCATTTGACCATGGTGTCTATTCTTTACTTTTGCCACCTCGACATATCTAGAAGTGGTCCAACCAGGTCTTTGAACCCTTGGTAAACTATAACTGCCTCCGCCTCTTTGCGGCCATGCTAAATAGTCTTCCCTAACCTCCATTTTTAAAAAGATGCATATTGAAGGCGACTTAACGGTTTTCTTCAGTAATACTCCTGAATTCCGTCATTCACCCCAAAGACAACTCTCTTTTTTTTTTTCTCCCTTCACCCTCCCACATAGGTTGCTAAAACAATCCAAACACTGGCGAATTTCAGTCTCTTCAGTGGTTCCAAAGAAGCCTACATGAAATTTATGAATCAGTTTGTCACTGATCAATTGCCAGAGATGCGACGTTTTCTACATTCCATTTCAATGCCGATTGGAAAAGCTTCGATGCATTCTACTTCTTCACCTTCACAAAAATCATTAAATAGCAACAGTACAGCAGTACTGAAACCGATCAATAATAATAACAGCATTAGTCGTCATGCCAACGGTGACAATAACCATAGCAATAGAAATAGTCAGAATGGTTCTACACCGCATTCTCTACATATGATTAGTTCATCGGATGAGAATTTTCTGAAAGTATCGAAACTATCGTCAACACGTCGATTAAATGGAGATGATGATCGTGGTTGTGGTGGTTCTTCTACGTCTTCAGAGAATCGTATTGGCAACAGTCAGTCACACCATGGAGGATTTATGGGAGAGAATAATGGACTGCCCACAAACACCAGTGTACCAGTTTCAATAAATTCACGTGGGAAAATACATAAATCGGTAAGACTTGTATTGAATTTTAGTGAAATTAAATTGAGTTAATTGAGGTGGTTTCATACACGTGTTTCGAGAATACGGTGAGCTATCGCCTTCCTCCACGAGCAGTGCTGGCTGACATAATTGATTGCTTGCCTGACTGGTCTCAACATAGAACTTCTTTGCACAAATGTGCGGCAGTTCCAGTTGCCACACTCCCTCTTCACATAGCTCACAAAGCAAGAACACAAAAGGTAAAGAGAGATCCAACAAAAAAGAGATGGAGAATAAAGACAAGTATGAGTGAAGCAATAATAATGGTAGTTGCACGAAAGAACATGTCATGACAAATCACACAAAGAGTGTATACATCCTCGCCAGACATCATTGAGAACAACGATTTTGAGCCATATCACTGCCAATAGTCTTCAGTCTTCATTGGTTATCACTATCCAGAGTATCCCAACCCCGAGGTAGATAGGAAGTCTACACTTCCCTACCTGGCGGCTGGCTTGTTGATTGGTTGGTCGACTTAAATTACCTGTTGTTATGGATTTCATTGGCTGATGAAGCCGTTTACTCGTTTGACCACCCACTACTTGTTGCCTATTTTCCAACCTGATGCATCCTATGTCCATCCATCCTAAGCTAATATTTCCTGTCGAGAAAGGCGATCGATCTATCAATCAATGGCTAGATGACACATGTCCTAACCATCTCAATCGATGCATCTGCTTCACAGTCTCGCCTATTGATCTTTCCCTCACTCCTTATCCAACTAACACTCGACAGCTAACCATCTCAGTGTGACTGACTCTTGTTGTACCACTTAGCACAATGGAAATAGAATGCAGAAATCCATTATGAAGGACAGCTAACACGTCTTTTCATGTGTTCCACTGGCAATGTCTGGCATGTCTCACTCACAGTCATAGAGGAGGACGGTGGGGACCACTGGTGAGCAGTACACACGTTGGATGGTTGATATCCAGTCAGTTGGATACCTTGTCTAATAATGCAGAGATGGTGTTTGTTGGAAAATACCAGACAAGCTCCCTGTGTTCGTTCTGAGCTGTCGTTTGCCACATCAAGCCACTGAGGCTTGTCACGATTTTCAGCAAGAACTTGAGACAGTTTCATCCTGTCGAAATCAGTCTCTATTGAGTAGGGATTACCGCAGTTTTCAGATTACATCGCCAACTGATACATCAGTTGTAGGAGAAACATCGAAAAATGCCAGTAGGGAGGGATTACCGGAATGCTGTTTTGTCCTCTTCTTTTCTCGGCAGTATATACAGGCATGAAAATTAGCAAACTAAGGATGAAACAGCCTTCTAGCACTTATCAGTTCTGTCAGTGTCAGTTCGTCATATGGTAGTATTTATATAATGTACATAACTTTCAACGGAGTTCGTTGCATAATGTCTTCTCTTCGTACAGGATCTTCAGATAAAATGTTAACTGACAGTAGATTGCATGGCATCGGTGTTAGACAACCATCGAAAACTACCGGGGAGTGTTGAAAAACTGTTCCTTCGAACTGGTTTGGGACTCCTCAACAGTACGCACCCATCGCTTGGGTTTGGACCTAGGACCTTCCGGTTACAAGGCCATGTCGTAGACCATTCACACACTGACATTCTATCCAATGGCCAGTCGATGGACTGCAACTTCTACTAGTTCACAACGTAGCGTAACTGGCACTAATCAATGTCACTGGTGGCGAGTATTTGTCCTCACACGCGCCCAACCTGCTGTACCCCGCTGGTCACGATTTCTGACTAGAACCCAGGTAACTATCTACCTGAACAGGGCCAGTCGAGCTCTACGACGTAGCTCTGTAGCCAGAAGGACCTGGGTTTGAACCTCGGTGTGTGCGTACTGATGATGAGTCCCGAACTAGGTGGGCAAAACAGACATATGTCCAGTACGCCCTGGTTGTTTCCCAATGGTTCTCTAACCGATTTCAGTTCATAATGAAGTCTTGTAACCAATAGAATTCCGCCATTTTCTTTTTGTATACAAAGACCTGGTTTATAAACTCTAATTGCACAAACCTCCTCCGCAATTGTAAACGTCTTTTTGCTTATGTGTCTGATGATAACACTGAATAACTTGACGGCGTTAATATAGTATTCATAGTTGAAGTTTTTGGTACTTTGACTTCAGCTGCTTTCAACCCCCCATAGCAAATGCTCCATCATGGGAGTAGAAAGTCGCCTTTCCGTGCGTACGACCTATGTATTTGCTTCCACAAACACACACTGTCAAAATGATATATATATACGCATTTTGAATTGTCGAGTGTACTGGTGAATACCGGTCTTTCCTAGATTGTTGAGTCACCTGCTTGGGGAAGTTAAGCAACACGAGTTTAGCAGCACAATAAGTCCTCTTTATAGCTTTAACATTATTATTATTATTGATTATCATTAATTGCATTACTGTGATTATTCTCAATATCATTTAGTCCGAAAGTCTTGATATTTATAAGTCCTATGTATCCCGGTGTAATTCTGACGGTATATATACAAACATCCCTATATGTAGAGTTTTCAGATGAAGAGGAGTTCTATCGAAATATTTGATGAATTCATTAAATAATTCTGCAATATTAACACCTTTTGTTGCTTGTTCAGGAAACACTGATAAATATAAAAATGAGCCTTCATGGGTTGGTTTTGACTGCCAGATGGGTGAGTGGATGGTTGTATGAGTGCGTCGGTGGAACAGTGGTTAGGTCTGTCGCCGACCATGCGCATGGTCCGAGGTTCGATCCCCTGCCGACACACACCTGATATCTATGGTCGGCCTGCAAAATTTGATACCGATATCCATGCTGAAAATTCCATACTTGTACGAAAATACAGTGTGGAATCAAGCTGTAATCAAAAAATTAATTTAAATTTAATTTGATTGATTTTCAAGTCGACATGCCATGGAGGGTGTGTTTCTTAAAAACCGGTGAGTGAAAGGGTGAATGTACTGACATCTAGCGTCCACACAAATGGACTGATTGGTTGGTGGAAGACATGAAAGTCTAGGTCTACCTATAAGAACAAAACTTGGGCACCGCGATGCTAGAGTATAATTCCATTAAGGAGGAAATTTTACTTTTATAAAACTTCACAGTGCTGTTATGCATCACTATTTACTGATGATCACGTTTCAAGCGCAATTCATTACTTCTCAGAATTATATCAAGGTGCTCACACAACTTTCCAACTTCGTCTATCTATAATTCCATTATTATTTCACCTCTTGATTTGATTGGCCGTAATATTTTCCAGATCTTTAGTATCAGTGATGAGTCATTCCTGTTACGCCTGCTGTACGTAGATTCGATGAACAAAGATTCAGTAATTAACTTCTCTCTCACCATCTGTATACGTTGGTTTTTAGAATTGCGGTCGTGTGTTGTTACATGCAGTGGAATAGCTGAAATTTTTTGGAAATTACTTATCCTCGTGCGTTTAGTCATTCTACACTTAACTAAATTATTGCCTTCTGACAACTTGAGTACCCTAGATTTACTGGTTTGACCTATGTAGTTTACCTAGGTCTATTTATCTAAGACGAGCTGGAAATACTGATGGATTCCAAACCTAACGTGTGATGTGTGGATGCACATTTGCTTTAGAATCCGATTGGTCACCGGTAATCGTTGGGGACACAGAAGCTCCTGAAACCGTCCTACTACCTTGAGGATCACGCGTCCAGTCGAAGGTTAATGGAGGGGGAGGGGTTGACCCTTTAGGACAACTATCACCTGCTTCCGTGTGGATATGCTAGCAAGCAATGATCCCAGCCTACTTAAATTTGATGAATTCATTAAATCCTGCTTTATTAACAGCACCTTTTGTTGCTTATTTCAAATTTGTATCGGGAAATAAATGTTTCCAAATGTTTCTTTTTCTTAGCACGAACACAGTTCAACTCTATGATCCGTTCACAATTTCTTCTTGACAGCATGATGTCAAATCGTCTATGAAACAGCAATCTAGTCAAGAATTATCCAAACACAAAACATATCAAGAAGTGTCAACCACGCTAAATTGTATCGCCTTACCACCCCTTCCAAGTTATGAAAGTCAACACTCAAGTTCTCACCAGCCTCAGAATCATCTCGGTTCAAGAGATCATGTCGATTTGCCGCTATGCTTAGCTCTATGTCATCTTCAGTTATGTGAGGCTATTGATAAAGTTCCTGAAGAGGTGAGTTAATGCTTTACTGAGGTATTGATTGAAATTATATGCCCCTGTCGATGTTGGTGAATATTGAATTGCTTGTTTATTCGAACCCTGGTTCGAAACCCTTCCTCCTTTATACGATTGCTGATCTTAATCCACTTTCTTCACAGCGTAGTGGGTAATCTCTCAGCGATTACACTTTGAGAACAGAACTTGAATTCAAATTGTCCATACAGTCAAGAGAGACGAAGGTATTAAATTGTCGGTCAGCTTCGTCCCATTACCCTTCATAGCTTTGAATACACTCCTGGAAGTCATAAATGGCCTACCAAATCTTTGGCGTAATATCTGCATTGTTTCGGTATATCTATCCATTAGGGGCAAGAACTTATAGCAGTGTATTCCTCTTGCAGCGGCAATACAGTGCAATATCTCAGCAAGTATATCAACTTCATAACATCTTTAAGTCCGAAACCACTTAGAATAACTTCAGTCTTCTTCATAAGGAGATTTTAATCCGCAAGGTTTCCATCGAAACACTGCAGGTCAAAATTAGGTAACTTAACGCATCTAATCCCCTTGGGTGAAGCTAAATGCTCATCACTGCTATCATTTATAACCTCAGACAACTTATCACAAATATGGAGCACACCGGCAGTACTTACTTTTTTGTCTGCCGCCATACTGTCATGTCTTTTCTGTGGCCCAGGCCTTATTGAACGTCATCAAAAAAAAATCAAGAATTGTATGATCTCGTTATTACTTGTACAAAAACGAAGGGATGGAGACCAAGCAAGGGCAAGCGAAATTGTCAACGGCTTTCCGCCGAACCATTAATTAAATCTAATCCTCTGGAGAGGTCCTAATTGTCAAACGAGATGGATCCGAAACTGGCTAATAACCAGATAGCAAAGATCTCGCACCTTTTATCGCTGGTTTCAGAAGACTAAGCCTTATGCGCAAGATATTATGCACATTAACCGATGCTGCGGAAGAACAGTAAATTGTAGGGCAATACGATAGTTTATTCTTCTACTGATAACGAAACACTATTACGGTTATTATCAAGTGCAAGGTCTGTACGTAATCGTTAATGTAATGTGCACTAGTACTTCTCCTCGTAGTTTTCCGATTTTCCACCAACCAGTAAACGATTGGCTTCTTGTCTCCCACAAAAAGGAGACCAGGTGGGTAAATATACGATTCAGTGGTCACCACTATTCATAGCCGCCTATTTTTACAGTTTCGCATGCATTAATATACTAGAGATTGATTGATTGAGACTAATTAATATGAATAGTAAGATATAGCCAATCACAAGCATCAACCAGCCAACTTCAGGTGATAATTCAAACACATTGGAAAGGTGTTCCAATCGCCTCTCGGAGGTTCAGTTCATCATTGAGGAGTATGAGAGCCGTTTTTCATTCTGTCAACCGAGAGTTACTATGGCAATGTTTTAACCGTGAAGGGAATGCCGAGAAAATACATCACATTGATCGAGGCACTCACACTACTTTAAATCCTGCAGCCAGGTAAGAGCCTATGGATAGTTGTCATCTGATAACTTCAGTGACATCCAGCGGTATCAGTCAGGGATGCACACGAATACTGTCCTTGTTTCTGTTTAATTTTACCGTAGATGTATTAAAGGAGGGGTTGACTAACCCTAACTAGATTTAGCAACTAAGGGATTGACTTGTTACCACCAGGGACTAATGTCGTTGACCTGGAATAATATGCGGATGTTATAGTCCTCCGTCATAATTGAAGACGCCGACATATTGCAGTTGAGTCTACTCTGAATACCCTGAGGAGCAGCAATCACCAAATGTTTGGCATGCGATGCGCTCCTGTTAAATGTAAGATGCTGAGGCTACAGGACTGCACTTTATCTACTCTTAGCTGGCTTAAAATAAGGGAGGAATGAAGTGGTAGAGCGTGTTAGAAACCAATTACTTAGGAATTCGCATCATCTCAGATGGGGAATGATCGCTGACCGAAATCTCAACACTGATACGAGTGCTTGTATGGCATTTGCTAACATTCATTACCTCTGGCGTGATATCTGGCAGGCTATCGATTAGATGGCGTGTGTACTGCTCACCAGCAGTTCCCACCGTGCTCCTTTATGACTGTGAGTGAGACATGCCAGATATTGCCAGTGGAACACATGAAAAGACCTGTTAGCTGTCCTTCATAATGGATTTCTGCATTCGATCTCCATTGAGTTAGGCAGTGCAATAAAAGTCAGTCACACTGAGATGGTTAGCCGTCGAGTGTTAGTTATGCAAGGAAGGAGTAGGGAAAATCAATCGACGAGATTGGAAGCAGATGTATCGATTGAGACGGTTAGGACATGTGCCACCCATGCTAGCCTAGCCATCGACCGATCGATCGCCTTCCTTGACGAGAAATGTTAGCTTAGGATGGATGGACATAGGATTGATCAGGTTGGAAAATAGGCAACCAGTGAAGGGTGGTCAAACGAGAAAATGGCTTCATCAGTCAATGAAATCCACAGCAACAGTTAGTTTAAGCCGGCTAACCAATCAACAAGCCAACCAGCCATCTACCAGCTAGTGAGGTGTAGACTTCCAGTCTACCTTGGGGTTGGGAGACTCTGGATGGTGATAACGAATGACGACTGGAGGCTATTGGCGGTGACATGGCTAAAAGTCGTCGTTCTCAATGATGGATAGCGAAGATATATTCACTCTTTGTGTGATTTGTCATGTCATCCGATAGAAGTCTACTGTTCTTCTTCGATATAACTACTAATCTTTTCCCTTCACTTACACTTGTGTTTTTTCTCCATCTCTCTTTTCTTGGATCTCTGCTTACTCTTTGTGCTCTTGCTTTGTGAGCTACGAGAAGAGGGAGAGTGATAGCTGGAACTCCTGCATATTTGTGCAAATTCCCATTTTGAAAGCAGTTAGTAAGTTAGTGTGAGGTAGAGTTCAGTTAGACTCTCTCTCTCTCTCTCTCTCTCTCTCTCTATATATATATATATATATATATATATATATATATATATATATATATATATTTGGTAGCTGCTTAGACATCAATCACCGTTATCAGCAGTATAAATCTATAAGAAAGTCTACCTTCTTCACTTACCTAACCTATAAAGGCAGGTTAGTTTCAGCAACAGCCGTGGAGGGGCACTGTTTATAATGTCGTATGAAGAGAGACCTACATTGTTCTGAAATAGGGCACTGAGTACATGAACTTTCATTGTTTCTATGTATAGGGTTTAGAGACATACTGAGTACGCGTGTCGAAAAATACATTTCCAATAGGTTTATGACAGAATTTTATCAAGATGGGTTGACTTCTCTCTTTTTATTAGTGAAGATTAGGTAGTCGGTCTGGAAGGCTGCCAACCAAAACAGCCAATCATAAACTTTATGCAGAAGGAAGTCAAGATGGATTAGACATGCATAAACTGAGGAGACCATTGAGTAATGACATCATTTTCATAACACATCAGGTTGTTGAATGAAACCACAAAAGGGAAGTGAACGACAAGTTAGACCAGGAAGAGGGTGTATTGATCATATCTTCACCCTCCGACAGATTCTAGAACATAGGCATTCCTACCGGCGTCCAACAGTCATTATATTTCTTGACCTAAAGGCAGCATTCGACTCTGTCGATCGGGAAGTTCTCTGGAGATGCTTGGCTGTAAAGGGAATTCCGAGAAAATATATTGCACTGATTAAAGCACTCTATTCGTACTCATACAGCCAGGTGAGGGCTTACGGCGAGCTGTCATCTGAACTGATGACGACCAGTGGTGTCCGTCAAGGATGCCCATTATCTCCTTTTCTATTCAACTTCATCATAGATGTGTTAATGGACTTAACCCTAGGTGACTTCAGTGACTCAGGGATTGACTTGCTACCGGGGAATAATCTCGTTGACTTGGAATATGCAGACGATATAGTCCTTCTAGGCGAAGACGCTGACAAAATGCAGAGTCTTCTAAACACCTTGAGCCGCAATCTACGAATGTTTGGCATGCGATTCGCTCCCGCCAAATGCAAGATGATGTTACAGGACTGGACCACATCGACGCCTAGTTTAAAAATAGGAAGTGAAGTGGTTGGGAGCACGTTGACCGCTTCACTTATTTGGGAAGTACCATCAGCCAGTGCCAACGGGTTGATCTCTGACGAAATCTCAGCACGAATACAAGGGGCTCGTTTCGCATTTGTTAGTTTACGCCGACTCTGGCGTAGACGAGATGTTCGACTATCGACCAAAGGGCGGGTGTACTGCTCATCAGTCCGCTCCGTCCTCCTGTATGGTTGTGAGACCTGGCCACTGAGAGTGGAAGACATGAAAAGACTAGCTGTCTTTGATCATAGGTGCCTGCGTTCTATTTCCCGTGTAAAGTGGCATAATAAGGTGAGCAACATGGAGGTTAGGCGTCGAGTTCTAGGTAAAGAGGGGAAATCAATCGACGAAGTCGTGAAGCTACAAAGACTGAGATGGTTAGGACATGTGTTACGTATGCCAAGCCATCGCCTCCCTCGACGAGCAATGTTAGCGGATATAGGGTCAGACTGGAAAAAAGCTAGCGGCGGTCAAACAAAAACTTGGCATCAGTCAATGAAATCCACAACAGTTGGTCTAAGCCAGTCACGTAGGACGGTGTAGACTTCCAGGCTGGGGTCCTCGGGACGGTAAAAATCTATGGTTGGAAACAATTGGTGACATGGGTCAAAATCGTTCTCAGTGGCTAGCGCAGATGCATCCACTCCTTGTGACTTATGATCTCCAATGAAACTGTTTTGTATTTCTTTATTACTCCTTTGTCTCACACCTCTGCTCACTGTTTCTATTATGCTTTTCTTGTACTTTCTTCTCTTGCTTCGCGTGTTACACGGAATGTGGCGACTTGAACTTCCGCACATTTGTGCAAAGTTCTATGTCGAAAACAGACAGACAGACAGAACGACAAGTTGTCTGTGAATCCATGTGTGTCTGACACACAGAGGACATCATGTGATAAATAGGAATAGGAAGCTTCTGGACAACTATGCAGCCAGCTATTAATAAAAAGGGATTAGAGTAAATAAGATTCAATAGAGGGAGAGAGGAGAACATCATGAGAAACATAAGTACAGCAAGTACAATTCAATCAGCGGATGAAAATTATTGTTATTTATCATTATACCCTTAGGTGTTCCGAACAGAACTTCAGGAATCCAACCAGAACACATCTCTATTTTATCCTTCTTCTTTAGCTGGCTCACTCCACGGTCATTTATAAATTCTCTTCTCTTCACATGATCTCCTGCATGTTATTCCTGGACACATCACTCTGTTATTAGTTTCCCATTCGGGCTCCACTCGAATGACATCACTCAACGGTCTCCTCAGAGACTGTCCGATCCACCCATCTCCATTTTCTTTGCCGTATTTGTTGGGTTACGGGTTTCAGGTTGGTTTCTTTCCTAGCAGAGTTCCTTGTTCTTATTCCGTTTCAGCCAGTTATTGAGGCAGCAACAGCAGTTGTTGATCGAATTGTGCACTGCAATCTGTTTGAAATGTTCTTCATGACACGCCTGCACCAAAATTTCTGATTTGAAGTAACCATTGTTGAATATTCATACGTCATTCTGATCTTATGCTCAGTGAGTACATATGCGATTTCCACATTGTTTTCAGAGTAATGAAGGTATCTCTCTTGCTTTCTGCGATAGTGAGTAGCTTTGACATCATTCAATGATGTCTAGACAGATAAGTGAAGAAAGTAACCTCCTTCAGGTATCTCCATTTGATAGTGATCGGTGCTTGTTGTTGTTCATCAGCAGGTAACTTCATGTCTTCTTCCCTATGTCCAATTTTGGTTAAAGATTTCTTTTTGCTGCTGACCTCTTCCACCAACTTGTTGGTTTTCGCCCGTAGATTCTTTTCAGCTTTGTATAAGACTTAAATTAATTCGTGTAAAGTCGACATCTTCCAGAGTCTTCTGATGCACAGATGTGCAGCAGTTCCGTTTGCCACACTCTCCCTCCATGTAAAACACAAACTAAGAGCAGAGATAGTAAAGAAAGATGATGAACACAAACGTGAGTGAGGGAAAAAGAATAGTAGATATATGGAAGAAGAGCATAGACTTATTCGATCACATGACAAATCACACAAAAAGTGAATGCATCTTCGCCAGCCGTAATTGAGAATGAGGATTTCAGGCCAAATATCACCACAAAGTGTCTTCAGTCTTCATTGGTTATTGCCATCTTGAGGACCCCAACCCTGAGGTAGACAGGCAGTCTACACCTCACTAGCTGGTGGATGGCTGGTTGGCTTGTTGATTGGTTGGCCAGCTCAAACTAACTGTTGTTATGGATTTCATTGACTGATGAAGCCATTTTCTCGTTTGACCACCCTTCACTGGTTGCCTATTTTCCAACCTGATCAATCCTATGTCCATCCATCCTAAGCTAACATTTCTCGTCAAGGAAGGCGATCGATCGGTCGATGGCTAGGCTAGCATGGGTGGCACATGTCCTAACCGTCTCAATCGATACATCTGCTTCACAATCTCGTCGATTGATTTTCCCACTCCTTCCTTGCATAACTAACACTCGACGCCTAACCACTTTAGTATGACTGACGCTTATTGTACCGCCTAACACAATGGAGATAAAACGTGGGTACCTATGACTGAGGACAGCTAGTCGGCCTTTTTTCATATCTTCCTTTTCCATTCAGTGGTCATGTCTAAGCCAAAGTCATAGAGGAGAATGGAGCGGACTTCTGCTGCTGTGGAATACACATGTATTTCGGTCGACAGCAAGATATCATGTCGATGAGGTGTAGATCACTTCGACAATCTGTCCAGTTAGCTAACAAGTGCAGCTGGTTAAAATGTTTATGATACGTATATAAACTATTCACCTCAATTTATCAGTAGTATGTAGGTCTTAATTTTTATCTGATACTTAATTTAGTATATTAAATATTAAATAAATTGTAGTTATATTTCAATAGTTTACTCACAAATGTAATTTTTTTCCTGTTTTGGTAATATTTCGAACAAAACAACACGGAGTGACAAAAAGCAGGATTCCAACCAAAAATGGTCACAGTACCAGACTAATATGATACACGTACCTCAGAGGAGGAATTTGAAAAAAACTTCAACAATTTTGGGATTCACATGACGTTTAAACCGATGATTCTAATCAGAAATATAAAAAGAAGTAAATCAACGGAATGATCCATTATGTATGATGGATATAAGTAGCAATGTAATTTACAAACAGATATATTTGCTGAACGTTCAACTAAATATATGGGTCAAGCGTTTTGATTATCACTCAAAATAAGAGTGAATCAATAACATAAACGCCTGACTAAAGGTCATTCCATGGCAACACAAACTTACAGCAATTTAAAAATTAAATTCGTCTATAGCTGCACATTATATTATTATTGTTCCCTTGGATTCCTAGTGGAGCATAGGGCTTCAACTGCACGTCTCCACTTGCTTCTGTCTTTTGCTGTACTTTTCACCTGCATCCATATTAGTTCATACTTTTTCAACTCCTCTCTCTTCGCACAATCTCCTCCATGTTACCCTTGTATGTCCCACTCGCTGCTTGCCTTTCGGATTCCACTCGAGCAATGGCCTGATGCGCGCGCGATGTCACCAAGGGGCCTCCTCAATGAGTGTCCAATCCATCTCCACTTTCTTCTACATATTTGTTGGGCGATTGTTTCTTGTTCCCATAGTTTCTTGTTGCTAGTTCTTTCCGGCCATCTGATCTGCACATGCGTGGGACAAAAACCACAATATCGATTGGAACAATATTTGTATTCTTAAATCTAATATGAGCAAATTGAAAGAGAGAGTGATAACGATAGAGACTGTATTGATTCCTTCACAAGCCAGATATATGTAACAAGTGTGACTCGGTAGCACAACCGTCAACAACCTGGATTATATTTCTGGATACATAAAATTGAATACAAATCATAAAAGTGTGAGTTAAAAAAAACAATTCCAACAGTTGGTGTGTGATCACGGGCTGTAATTCTGCGGTAAATATTAACAAGACAAGAAAAAACTAATCATTGTGTGTAAACTATTGAACTGTAATTATAATTTATTTTATTTATTTATTTACTGACATTAAATATTAAATATTTTTATGCCTGTTATCACACACACACACACATTTAAACATGCTTTTCTTTTCTTCATTCAGAAAAGACAATCCGATATCAACGAGTTGAAGATAATTCTAGACGAAATCAGTATGTTCCTCACGAGTGGGAAAGATCCACAACCAAATTGGTGGTGGCAAAAGAAGGCGAATACAAACAGTGAAGAGGATAATAGTCCTTCATCGATTATTGTCATTAACACTGACAATACCACAATGAATAACACCACGACGGCAATAACAAAAAAAGTAGAGAATTTCCACAACACATCTAGAAGTCATTCAAAATCACCACATCCACTCTTGAAGAAGAATACTTCACAGACAACAATGAGGATTCCTGCTAATTATATTGGGGAGACACATAATAAGAGTACAATTTCACTAGATGATGAGAAAATCACCCAACTCCCGTCTACACTAATGTTATCAGCGCCTAGTTCTACTGGTTCGTTGAAACAACAAATCATTGTCCCTGAGAAAAAGAGGAAACCTACTGGAAACAATAAAAATCATTATAAGACTATGGTAAGTTCTAAGCATTTGTGAAATGGTTTAGTAGGGTGAGTAATATTGAGGTTAGGCGTCGAGTGCTAGGTGAAAAGGGGAAATCAATAGACGAGGCTGTGAAGGTAGATCGATTGAAATAGTTAGAACATGTGTTACTCATGCCTAGTCATTGCCTTCCTCAACGGACAATGGTAGCTGACATAGGGTCACGGTGGAAAAGAGTCAGTAGAGGTCAAATTAAAACATGGCTTCATCAGTCAATGTGAAATCCACAACAGTTAGTTTAAGCCAGTCACATAGGAAGGTGTTGTAGACTGCTGTCTGATTGGGGTCCTCGGCAGCCAGCCACGTCTAGCTGGCTTGAAGATAGGCAAGAGTGAAGTGGTGGAGCGGTGTTGACGATTACTTCATTTATTTAAGAAACCATATCAACAGAGATACAAAAGGCTTGTGTGATATTTGCCAACTCACGCCATTTCTGGCATAGAAGACGTGATATCCGGCTAGCTGGTGTGTGTGTGTGTACTGCACAGTAGAAGCAGTCCGCACTGTCCTCCTCTATGACTGTGACTTAGACATGACCACTGAATGAAAGTGGAAGATATGAAAACACTAACTGGCTGTCCTCAATCATAGGTACCTACGTTCCACCTCCATTGTGTTAGGTGGTATAATAGGGCGTGAAATATTGACCTGAGACATCGGTTCAGTATTAGTTAGGTAAGGAAGGAGTGAGGGAAAATCAATCGACGAGACTGTGAAGCAGATGCATCGACTGAGATGGTTAGGATATGTGTCACGCATACATCCCTAGCCATCGGTCGGTTGATCGCTTTCCCCGACGAGAAATTTTAACTTGGGATGGATGAACATAGTGTGGTGAGAGCAGGCTGCTAGCCGATTGGTTGGCACTAATCTACGTTAAGGTCTAGGTCACTAATATGGGCCGTGAGAAAATATGAACAAGGCTGAGTCAACAACCAATCACAGCAAAGTTAACGTGGCAAAATATGATTCGCAGATAGAGAACTCTATTTGTCAAGGAATCCCGAAACAACCAATCAGAAGCCTGCGTTTGTCTACCTAACTTCTGATAAACAACCAATCAGATGACTGCGCTTGTCTATAATAATGTAGTTGAAATATGTATAAATACGTGTTGATTTTCATAATAAAACGATCTGTTGTCTGGCCCTTGTCTTCTGTTGTTACAATAGGATAGATCAGGTTGGAAAAGAGAGATAGCCAGTGGAAGGTGGCCGAAGAAAGACATGGCTTCATTATATAACTTATATATATATTAGAGTTGAGCCTGATGAGATCTAATTGAAAACAATATTGTTCGTTTAAATGTGTTGTTCTAAATTTTACTATGGGAATATTTAATATATTCAAATCGAATATGTCAATCAGTAGTAGGTGTGCGTCGGTGGCATAGCGGTTAGCACGCTCGCCGACCATGCACATGGTCCGGGGATCGATTCCCGGCCGGCGCACTCCTTTACCTCGCTAAGCCAGGAATAATCCTCGTAAAGAGGAAAGGTTGGGCATGAGGCTGGCTAGCAACCTCATCCTGTAAAATAAACACTGCTACAGAAACTTCAAGCCACTAGCTTGAAGCCCTATATTCCACAGGGGAACGTGAAGGAAAAATTATTATTTACTATTTAATCAGTAGTAGTGTAGTATTTCTTCATAGGGTCGCCTCTTCTGTTATTTGCTAAGCCGAGTAGGAGACAGGTTTAGGAGTGGGTTTGCGTCGTTCACCTGCAATAGTGTTCGGCTGAAATTCTTGGCTGGCGAACATTCTGCACAGTCAACCCCATCGGCACACACACACACAGTCTCACTCCTTTGTATCTCTCAGTTAACGCCGCCCAACTTATTGTGTGATTACGTGCAAGTGAGAATGCATTCCAACTGTCGGCTGGTATTTTTGTGTTTTTTTTTTGTTGTTTCGAAGTTCCTATAGCGATTGAATTGATTTTCTGGGTTTCGATAGCATGTTAGCGCCTTCTCTCTTCACAACCTCATCACTGTTGACTGCTGTTCCCATCTAACCGAACTAACACACTGAACTCCTAAACACTTAAATACTATTCATGCTTATTGTACTGCCTAAATTAACCTTTCAATATTCTTATTTATTTCAGCCTAGCTCAAATGTTGAAATTATCGTGTCGAAATCACAGCAGAATCATCATACAGCAGCTACCACTGCTGTCACTACGCCTACGACTTCGCCTTCACCTACGAATATACCACCAGAACGCATTATTCGCTGTGATTCAATTGAAATCCTCAAAGTTCCCTATACAACAAACACTACAGATGGCTTTTATCATTCAATTGAAGTGAAGAAAAATCAATTCCCCAGTACTAATTCACCAATTCAGCCAAAAACTTCCCTAGACTTTATCGTTGACTCGAAACTTGCCAAAGAATCGCCCACTGACTCTTCTTTAAAAGTGGATCACAGAAAATGGAGAAAAGGCAGGATAGAAAGTCCACAGAAAAAGAAATCTCATGAATCTGTTGTTATATACCGTGAAACGAATGATACTACAACCACTGGTGGCGAACGTTTACAAGCCAAACTAGATAGCCCAGTCAGTGCAGAAATGAATCCAACAGAATTTAGCGAGGATCCTTCTGTAATGAGCTCAAATTGTGTATTAGGCAATTATTCTATCTCTTCTGGTTATCATACTATCTCTAGTCGTTGTGGGAATAATCAAGTCATCTCTACACCAAACCATAATACACTGCTGACGTCATTAAGTGACGAAATAAGTAGTAGTACTAGTGTGAATAATCCTTTATATACGTGCCATTCCTTGAAACAAATTAATAATTCTAACGTTTCAAATTATGATAATTCGATAGAATATTTTTCAGATAAAGATACCATACTACTTACAAACAATAATAATTCAGTAGGCGGTTGTAATAATTCTTCATCGTCATCAAAAAAACCTAACTCAAATTCATCAAGACGACATACTTATGTAAATTTAGGGAATTCACATGAAACGAATCACCTGATTGACACAATAAAGAATGGTGATCATCATTCTCACCATCAACAGCGGTCAGATCAAACAATAGAACTGGACCGTAGGAATTGGGCACCACCTGTATATATCCTACCTGATGAACGGAGGAATCGACGTGCCACACTAACAACAACATATCCAAACACAAATGAAGTTAATCGTTCCGGGAACTCAGCATCCTCTAAGGACCAGATTCACCAACCGACTAGTGATCCACAGGAACTTCAACATGGTTCTTCTTCTTCTTCTTCGATGAGAAGGTTGGAAACAAAACTTGAAAGAATTAAGTTTGGAACGAAGGAGATTCCACGTACAATTGGTGCACCAGCAGGGAAGCGAACAGCATTGTTCCCTAAAGAGGTGAGTTTACTGTCTATAATTTTTGAGTAGGGATAGAATAATGTTCATTCTGTTTCGTCAGTGTCCATTTATCAGTTGCGTACAACCAATTAGTATTATTATTCCCTGGCGTCCAGATTAGAACATAGGCCTTCAACAGTCAGAGCACACTTCCAGTCCTCTTTAGCTGACCCTTAAGTTTTTTTCATCTCCCAAAATCATGTCTTTCAAGTCACTCTTGGACAGATGCCCAATTTGTCGTTCTCCATTCGGGTTCCAGTCGAGTAATGGCCTGGCTGGCATGCTATATCACTTAAGGGTCTCCGCTTTGCCTCCATTTCCTAAAGATTATTTGTTGAGCAATAGGTTTTTCGTTGGCTTGTTCCCAGCCAGTGTTCCTTGTTACTAATTGTTCCTAGCTATTTGGTTCTCGATATCGAACCACAAGAGGCAGCGATTGATAAAGCCTGTAGTACCCTGTTGGGGATAATTTTCGTAACGCACTGGTCAAGTTTCTTGCCTATAGAGAAGAGCTGACTGACTTTATATTGGTATTGAACAGAATTCAAATTTTGTCCTCTATGCTCAGTACAGTAGATTTCCCAACTGACTTCAGAGTGATGAAGTTCTGTTTTGCCTTTCCGATCCTGTCTGTTTTTGACATCCCCATCTATGCCAACACTTGTAGTTGAAATCTGTCTGTCTGTCTGTTTTCGACATAGAACTTTGCACAAATGTGCGGAAGTTCAAGTCGCCACATTCCGTGTAGCACGCGAAGCAAGAGAAGAAAGTACAAGAAAAGCATAATAGAAACAGTGAGCAGAGGTGTGAGACAAAGGAGAGTAATAACGAAGAACAAAACAGTTTCATTGGAGATCATAAGTCACAAGGAGTGGATGCATCTGCGCTAGCCACTGAGAACGATCAATTTGAGCCATGTCACCAATTGTTTCCAACCATAGATTTTTACCGTCCCGAGGACCCCAGCCTGGACGTCTACACCTTCCTACGTGACTGGCTTAGACCAACTGTTGTGGATTTCATTGACTGGTGAAGCCAAGCTTTTGTTTGACCGCCGCTAGCTTTTTTCCAGCCTGACCCTATATCCGCTAACATTGCTCATCGAGGGAGGCGATGGCTTGTCATACGTAACACATGTCCTAACCATCTCAGTCTTTGTAACTTCACGACTTCATCGATTGATTTCCCCTCTTTACCTAGAACTCGACGCCTAACCTCCATGTTGCTCACCTTATTATGCCACTTTACACGGGAAATAGAGCGCAGGCACCTATGATCAAAGACAGCTAGTCTTTTCATGTCTTCCACTCTGAGTGGCCAGGTCTCACAACCATAAAGGAGGACGGAGCGTACTGATGAGCAGTACACCCGCCCTTTGGTCGATAGTCGAACATCTCGTCTACGCCAGAGTCGGCGTAAACTAACAAATGCGAAACGAGCCCCTTGTATTCGTGCTGAGATTTCGTCAGAGATCAACCCGTTGGCACTGGCTGATGGTACTTCCCAAATAAGTGAAGCGGTCAACGTGCTCTACCACTTCACTTCCTATTTTTTAAACTAGGCGTCGATGTAGTTGAAATGATACTGCCTAGCCGGATAAGTGAAGGTAGTGACTTTTAAATTTCTGCAGTACGGTGGTGTTTGGTGCTGGTTAGCCATCTTCATCACCTCCGTCTACTCGATGTTCACACTTAAAGTCTCATGCCTTCGCCACTCCTTCTACGAACCTGTTGGTTTTCTTCTGTATGTCTTCGAATATGTGCGACATCAGACATAAATCATCCACGGGAAGTCGATAGTCTTCTTAACGGTCCGATGGACTCCTGTCTTCTCGTTCTCTACTGACAGTCCTCTGCATAACCAAGTTCACCACAATTGAGAATATCATCGTGGGTGACAATAGTCATAAGTATTGTCTTATTTCTCTGTATTCACTCACTGCAAAGACAGTCTTTATCGATTATTTTTTTATGGATCACCTGACATTTTGCATCGTCATACATCTGTTCTATTCATAATAGTAATAATAATAGATTTATTCCGAACAGTATTTGTTTTGGTAAAAATATGGAATCTTCAGCATGTAGTAAAGTGTTGCATTTAACTTTCTCGTAGAGTTCCGCAGTAACTTGGTTATATGCTGACCTGCACACTTTTCTCATCACACATAAAATGTGTCCCGGCCAAATGAGGTATTGTAGAGTTTTTATACCTAGTTGTCCAAGCGACAAAGTCTTCCATATTTGCTTGTAGTTTCATACTTACCTGATGACATGCTAGTGGGGAGATTTGTGTATAGAGAGTATACTCAGAGTCCATCCGACAAGATAATATTCGTTAATTTTTTGCACAAGTCCATGTTTTATCTGTCTACAACAGTATTAACACAAGTTGGTTTAGCGACAACAGCCCACTCGCCCTACTGACGACTTTAAATGCCCTTCGCAGTATAATACATCAGTCTTTCTTAAGTAATCCAGGAAAAATTAAGGTGGGGAATCAGTAAAGAAGTATGTTCAGAATACTGCATGAATTAACAAACTTGGAAAGTAGAGATGGAATAATACCAGGTCGTCTTAACTTCCTTGCGCAGAACGTCAAACGAAATAACATCACTGTGGAAACTAATGTGATGCGAGAATATCAGAAGACATGATCAGAGGAAATGCACAGTCCAAGGTATATTTAGCATTGGATTTAGTTTTAACCCCTGTGATAGTGGAGCCACGTGAACTAACCAGTTCATGTAAGTCGAGCTTGCGTCTGAAAGTGAATTTAACCACCATTCGATGAGGACCACTGACTCATTTCTGATAAAAAGTTCCCCATATATATTGGAACAGTTTGACTGAGAAGTAACCGCTAGCCATTGAAGCTGTCAGATGGATGATCGGCATATTTAACAGCACTGGCTTCATCACAGTGGGACAAGTAAGTCATGTAAGAAGAAGGAAAACAAAAACTTTCAATACCAGTCTTAAATATTTTAATCCCAATTTTATTTCTGATTTAAGAATAAAACACCAGCGATAATCGATATCCGCAGTGAGTTGGATGCATCACAAGCCCGATTGGCAGAAGCACAAGCTCGTCTATTAGCCAATGAAGCTGAACGAATCCAATTATTGAGATCGTGGAGAAGTGAACTGATCAAACAATCTCAGTTGATTAATGCAAGCAGTCTGAACCAAAATCAAACTACCACAATGGTCTATGACAGTCCTACAGAGCCTCAGCAACAATATCCCTCCATTTTACGCATAACTCATACAGGAAATAAAGATCCAGCTCAACTGAGCTTTGGTCATAATGACGGTGATGATGGTGAAAACGATGATAATAGTGATCGAGATTATAATGATATGATCACTAATGAGCCAAGATCGTTGTCTGTAATCCCGTTAATCAATACTAACTCATTACAAAGACAGGATTTACATCATTATTATGCGGAAAGTATTTATGATTATGAAGATAGTGAACTGATGCATTGTAATAATAATAATAATAATAAAAAATAATGTTGATCCCGATCACCCTCAGAAGAGTAAACGATCTACTACCACTACAGATCGATATATTCATTTACCTATGAGTAATAGTAATAATGGCAGTACAGTTGGACGTCATTCCGGTGTGCATCAGAATACACCAGGATCATCGGTGAAATCACAAAGGTAAGTTTATGATTCTCGTATTTTTATTCCCTTGGGTTTGTGGCGTTATAGCTGTTTTTTGCTGAAGGTTACATCTCTGTTCCACCCAGTTATTAGTTCTCCGTAATCCTTTTTAGTTGGCTCCACAACTAGCTATAAGTTCTCGTTAACCTCCTGCATGCTGCCCTCGGACGCACACACACCCAACTTGTCACTCACTTCCCATTCAGGCTCCACTCGATCGATAGCTTTGTTGGCGCGTGATTTCACTCGACGATCTGCCCAGCGTATATCCGATCTATCTATATCTATTTCGTTTTGCGCACTTGCTGGGCGATAGGTTCGTGGTCGGCGAGTTCGATAACAGAGTTCCTTGTTACAAGATTTCATCAGCTAGACAAACACTGGAAAACCTTAGAGTACTGGAAATCTGTTATGTCAGCCTAGTTTGGGACTTTTCATCAGTACCACCATCAGGGATCGAATGCAGGAACTTCCTGTTACTAGGAGAGCTCACAGACCATTAAGCCGACGGGACTCGATTTAACGGCCAACCCATGAATTCCAACTCTATGAAATTACCTGGTAAGGCTGCTTGAACGACTTCGAGCTCGCTTCCAGTCGCTTTCTTCTTGAACTCTAACGCTCATGATTTCTGTGTGTGGCCATCTATCTTGCCTGCTAGACCTGAGCTCTCTAACAACCCATAATACTTGCTGTGACCCTTTGGCAACCCGGCCCACTTAATCTGGTGACTAGACTGTTCGTAACACTATCCCTCCCCACCCATCTAGAGAAGACAGTTATGGTAGCTGAAAGGTTTTCAACAGATCGTAGAGATCCATAATCGCGCTTCAGTAAAGCTGCCGAGTGTCCCTCGAAATCTCCAATTGTATCTCCCCCCCCCCCGGTGTTCCGGTCTGCACAGCTAAACAAATTGATCATTTAAGGTTGAAGGACTGATTTGACGAACTTCTTTTGATACCCTACAATCCCCCTCCTGATAAACTAGCTAGCCTGATGTGATCTTTTGTCTTCGAAGTGGAGAAGATGGGTGTGTTGTTGAAAGTCTGCAATAGCCTTTTAAATAATAATAATAATAATTTGCTTTATTCCAAAAACAGTACTTATGATACATTGTGGAATTCTCAGCATTTGATACAATATTGCATCTAATTTAATAGACAATAGCAAAAACAAAGAAAAACGATAATCGCCGACTGATATTAGCAGCTTTCTTGGTATTAGCAGTAATTATAAAGTCAAAAACCTACAAAAAGTGTGAAATATTTTTAATAGCTAAAATTATAAGATAGCTAATAACATAAAGAAGGTGTTATAAGTTTCACACTTAACACTTTCTCCATCACATAGAACGTGGGCAGGTGGGTCATATATAGTATCGGTGAGCTTTTGTACCTAGTTGTGAGAAGATATAATCTTTTATACTTATTTCTAGTTCTACCAGACGAGGTGCAGCAAGTGACAGGCAGAGTTGTGAATAAAGAGGATGTTGAGAGTCAGACGATATTGATTTCACACATTTCTCGCATTAGTTGTTCAGGTGTTTGTTGACTATGGTAGTAACGAGCTGACTTAGCAAGGGTACACCACTTACCCTACAAACAACCTTTAATACCCTTCTCCTCAATAATGATATGGTCCTTTTTGAGTAGTCCAGGAAAGACTGCGGGAGAGCAATAATGAAGAATAATAAGTGAGGTGCAAGAATTAACAAGTTGTAAAACTAAAGGCTGATTAATTCCAGAATGTCTTAACCTCTCAAGTTTAGAAGGTGGTTAGACGGAGCATTCTCATGGGAATAGACAGGATATAGGATGACCGACAAAGAAAGATTAGAGGATAGAATAATACCAAGGTGTTTTATGGTTGACTTGACCTCTTGTCTAAACAGTGCCCTCTATGCTACAAACATCGTGAGAACTAATGAGTACGTGTAGATCACGTTTATATCTGACAGTGACGTTAACTGTTTGACATTTAGTAGAGGGATTTAATGTAAGACCATTTAACTTAGACCACTGGCTGATATGCGACAGAAACCTATTGGGCTTGAAACAGTCTGATTGGGAAGAAACTGACAGTGAGATAGTCAGATCACCCTCAGCGTATTTAACGAAGTTGATTTCATCCAAAGGAGGCAAGTCATTTAAGAAGAAATAACAAAGAAAAGAAGGGGGAACAGCACCCTGAAGGGTACCAGCTTCAGTAATCAAGTGAAGTTTCGCCCTTATGTACAGCATACTGCATTCTGATAGAGAAGTAAGAGTGCAACCAGTTATCAGCCGGGGACTGGGTTTGTGTCAAGGAAAGCTAATTTTGCGAAGGGCATCTGGGCACAGAGTCAAACGCGGAAGTGTAGTCTAGGATGGTAGAACGGATATACCTGGCCCCTTTGTTTAAGGAGGAAGTAGTATTACAGTGAAAGACAGAATCATGCTGCAGCATTCATCATACTTCTTTTCGGTTTATAAGCTAATTGTCTGCGGAGGTTAAAACTTGTTCGAATATCACTCAACAGCAGTCCGCTCAGAGTATGTCTGATCCATCCATCTACATTTCCTTCTACACAAATCTGAAGTCAGTTTAATTCAGTTGAGTGTGAATCAGTGCCTGAACAAACATTTTCGATATCTGTATCACAATATTCTGGATTTAACATGAATATGAGAAATACCATTGTTTCCTGCCGTTTTTGAAGAAGTTTAATGCATACTCGTTTAAACAAGATCACTCATGTACTCGAAAAAAGATGACTGTAAAATAGGAGTGGTCGAATTCCTTTTGAATCTGTCATTCTACCACCAGGGATCATAGTGGGTACATGCTGTTGAGGGGTCCCGAAAACGAGAACAAAACAGGCCACCAATATATCCTGGCCTCCAGATCGCGATCAGACTGAAGATCAACCAAATGCCCGACAAACTAACATTTGAAAATTATTAAAAAGAAGGTTGCAAGGGAGAAAATTTTCCTTTTGACGAGGTCATTATCAACTAGGTCGGTGTACGTTCGCGTGTGTGTATGGTAAATGGGTAAGAAATTTCCCGAACTCTGTATTTTCGGGTGGTCAAGGGTGAAATCAATAAAATTACAGTAAGAAGAGAATTCCTTATCATCAACTATTGACGAGCTCCATCTCTATAAGAGGATACATTGATGATACTTTCATTGTGATTTGCAGTGATAAATTAAATCTCAAAAACTCATTCGAAACCTTCAATAACGCCCACCCTGAAACACAGACTTCACTTTGGAAGTTGAATCTGACTCAGTGTTTCATTTCCTCGATTTTTACCAACTGAGAAGAAATAGTACTAACTCGCACTCAGAAGATCCACATACACAAAGCCCATATGGAACAGATAGTTTAAAAACTTTCACTCTATGTGTTCCTCTAAGCGGAAAGAGAAACCTACTTCGTTTCGCAGAAGCCATCGCTATCAAGAGACTTCGATCAGACCTCTGTACACAGAAAGATAGTGTGACTAATCTTTCACTACCCTGGTAACCCTAATCCTATTTTATTTATTTTTGTTTTTTGTTACTTACTTCACTATTCACCCCCACCCTCTTAAACTCTCCACCACATGTGTAAATTCACTCTGTTCTCTGACCTTGACCCTATAATATGCCTTTAACCAATCTGCGTTTCCCAATAGTAATCTGAACTCTAAACCCTCTTATCTAATTCCACTATATATAATTAGTTTTTTTGACACTGAATAATCTGTCTACCTACATCAAATTCCGGAATTATGTTCCTTATACTTTCTATTTATAACTCCAAGTAATTATGAAAAAGTATGTTCCAAAACTTTTTTGAAACTTATAATTTGATTTTGTTTAGGATGTATGCAGTTGACGAGTGTCCACGAAATAAAACGAGCTCGTATTATCCTGCGAACATGTTCGTTCTTTCTCTCTTCAAACTAATAAAGGGAACCGGTTGTATGAAACTGATTTATTCTCTTTCCTCGACGATCGGATAAAATATACATTGAGGAATCAATTGACAAAGAACTACAAAATCTTCAAGAAAAAGCTTTATAGAATGTGGTTTTCCTTTCACCCATATTCATCGATGAGAAACTAAAACCAAAGGAAAGATCAGAAAAAATCTAAGTTACCCTTGAAAAGATGCTACCGCAATAGGTTAATCTCGAATTTAAGAATGATACATACCAAAGCGGACGGTTTTCCAAATCTGTCAGTAAAGGAAATTACTCCGCCACCAAACCAAGGGGTGGAATTTTTTTATCCAAGAAACTATCCAACCAGTATTTGAAAGACAAGCTGTAACCCACAATGGGCCACTTCAATATCCATACAACAGTTGACTTGCTTTTGTGGAGCTTAGTGGATTGACCCAACCATGCGCCCACTTGTAAAACGCACTACAGAACACTATCATGCCTCGCTGGCTAGCGAATAGCGAATGCAAGAGTGTATACATCCAACAACTAGAACATCTTATGAATTCAAGACATTTAGCTCCATTTGATGAAAAGACCTTCTTAGTTCTGCACAAGGTCCGATATAACCTCCGTCTCAAATGGGAGTGAGAGCAAGACATCTGGTCATATTCCATATATTCACGATCCAACCGTTGAAGTCCACACTATGTATTCAAAAGAAGTATGTCCAACCGTTGCTTTTAAATGAAAGGCCACCATGTAAGGTCAATTCTCTCAATTGTGATTATCTTATTATACCTTTCTTACTCGATCTTCCTGTCTGTTTTGTTATTACCACATTTATTATCCCTATTTGTACTCTTTTCATTTGTTATAATTTGATTCTCGACTGGAAATGGAGCTCTGGAAGTTTGTCACCCACTTACTACATACACACACGAATGTACAGATACTTCGTCGAAAAAGAAAATCAGTTTTTTCGCTACAACCGTTTTTTTTAATAATTCCTATGATCTGATTTGCTTGTTGCGTAATCCCGAAATTGTTGGTAAAGCTTACGTAATGTGTACATTCCGTGACTTGAAAATAATAATAATTATAATGATAATAATAATAATAGAAAGAGTCCGACGGGGGAATATGCCTGAATCTCAGACATTGTTTTTAATACCTTAGTTAAACCTGTTTATTCCGCAGCTAATTGAAAATGAAAATTTTTGCTCTGGTGTTTTGGTTTCTCTATGTACCTACTTCATTTTATTTATCTCTTACAGGTCATACAGTAATCGACCTCGGATGGGAGCATCTGCTATCGTCACAAATCTCCACGATCATTCTACAACCTCGTCGGCATCCGCTGATAATTATCAACAGTCTACACTGCCAGGACGAGGGAAATTGATAACCCAGCATCATCACTGGAATAATGGGAATCATAAAAACACCAATCCCAATACATCATCAGAGACAATGATGACAACGCCTTCATCAACAGATTTGGATGAATTCTATCGATTATCACGTAGTCCATCGACTCCAGGATTATGCATTAATAATAGTAGTAGTAGTAATAATCATTCAAAATATTCACCGCATACAATGGTGCCTTCAGTGACGACGACAACAACACCGCCGGCAACAACAACAATACCACAAAAATCACTGGGACAGATGAAGAATTCGCCAGACAAATTCAAGCCATCATTTATGAAAATAATCAACATTTATGCTCAAAATGATAATAAGTGTTAAATCAAGCCTTCACATTTTATACTTATTTGCATATACTACTCATTTATAATTAAATAGTATCTGCTCATCTAAGATATGACAAAAAATTCACATATTCACAGACATGTATACCACGCCCTGCTGATAGATGGGTGGATATGCCTTCAATCTCCTCTGATCTCGATCACATACACACACACATGTGGACTCTGTGCAAAAGTCGTTAGTTCCCCACGAACCGACGACAATTTCTACAACTCATCGTGCCAATGATACTTTCTTGTAATGTATAATTTTTTAATTTCTATATGTGTGTGTGTATGTGTCTGTGATGATTTAGCAACATATTTCTGACTATGGGTGGTGCTCAATCAATCTTATTCTGATCACACACACACCAACATACATACATACACTGACAGTTTTGTATAGTTTCCTCTAAATTTCCCATTTACTTACTTGCCTACTTCCTTAATTTTATTGATTTTTTTCTACTGCTCACCTCTTCAAAAAGTGTGTGAAAAATGTAACCATATGGTGAAACAATACAAATTAGGAATGATGATGGTGATGACGATTGCGTAATAAATAATAATCCTATTTGCATTGTCCTTTATATTCTCGGAAAGGTTTGAGTTGTTTGGGACACTCGATTTAGTTAGATGGTAACAGACTCATGGTTGCTATGCGTGTATTGTGGCTTGTTGTCGTTAGCTAGCCAACCAGTCATTCTTCAACGTCATATATATATATATATCGACAACGGTTACCTGATTTCCTCAGACAACTTTACTGAAGTGCGAACACATAAATCTATGGCAAAGATCGTAACTTCATAATTCAAAGCTGTTCAAAGGTAGTTTGTGTTATTCAGCGGTTTAGATATATTTATAATGTTAACTGACAACGAGGACTTCAATACCACTCATCCTGTTACACCACCTAATACAACAGACGGAATGCAAGCATTCATGATGAAAGACACCTAGCTGGCCTTCTCATATCTTCCATTTTCAGTGGCTACCATGTCTCACTTGCAGCCATAAAGGAGGACAGAGCGAAGTGCTGGTAAACATGGCACACGTCATCTGATCGCTAGCCTACGGGATATCACGATAGAGGTGATGTATGTTGGTAAATGTCACACAAGCCATCTCTGTCCATGATGAGATTTCAGTCAGCCACCAGTCCCCGTCTGAGCCGACGCGACTTCCTAAGTCTGTCTGTTTTCGACATAGAACTTTGCACAAATGTGCGGAAGTTCAAGTCGCCACACTCCACTCCTTGTAGCACACAAAGCAAGAGAAGAAAGTACAAGAAAAGCATAATAGAAACAGTGAGCAGAGGTGTGCGACAAAGGAGGAGTAATAACGAAGAACAAAACAGTTTCATTGGAGATCATAAGTCACAAGGAGTGGATGCATCTGCGCTAGCCACTGAGAACGATTTTGAGCCATGTCACCAATTGTTTCCAACCATAGATTTTTACCGTCTCGAGGACCCCAACCTGTCAGGAAGTCTACACCTTCCTACGTGGCTTAGACCAACTGTTGTGGATTTCATTGACTGGTGAAGCCAAGTTTTTGTTTGACCGCCGCTAGCTTTTTTCCAGCCTGACCCTATATTCGCTAACATTGCTCGTCGAGGGAGGCGATGGCTTGGCATACGTAACACATGTCCTAACCATCTCAGTCTTTGTAACTTCACGACTTCGTCGATTGATTTCCTCTCTTTACCTAGAACTCGACGCCTAACTTCAATGGTGCTCATCTTATTATGCCACTTTACACGGGAAATAGAGCGCAGGCACCTATGATCAAAGACAGCTAGTCTTTTCATGTCTTCCACTCTCAGTGGCCAGGTCTCACAACCGTAAAGGAGGATGGAGCGGACTGATGAGCAGTACACCCGCCCTTTGGTCGATAGTCGAACATCTCGTCTACGCCAGAGTCGACGTAAACTGGCAAATGCGAAACGAGCCCCCTGTATTCGTTCTGAGATTTCGTCAGAGATCAACCCATTGGGGCTGATGGTACTTCCCAAATAAGTGAAGCGGTCGACATCCTAAGTAAGTGAAGTAGTGGTCAACACGCTCTAACACTTCATTGCTGCCTATTTTTAATCCAGTAAGCAGTTGATGTTGTTCAGTCCTGTAGCATCATCATTTTACATTTAACAGGAGAAAATCGCAAGCCAAACAGGTGAAGACTGCTGCTGCTGCTGCTCAAGGTATACAGAGTAGATTGAACTGGATTTCGTCAGTGACTTTACTTGTGACGGAGGAATACATCATCCGCATATTATACTTAGTAGCTTAAAAATCCCATTGAGTCATATAAAAGAAAAAGCGTTCGTCGAAGAGTTACTCTTTTCGGTGATATACATTATCAAGCTGTAAACTTCCGATAATAAATTATCTGATGTAGAAAGCGTTAACAGGGCAGAAATTAAATTAAGACTAAATTGAGTGACGCAGTATAACTGACGAGATTGAGTAGGGGAGTTCAACTAAAAGTGAACGACAGTCAAGTTAACAACATTGGTAGTAAGCGGTATAAATTTAATAGGAGGGGGTGAGGGAGGGAAATAATATCATTAATAAACAAAAATGAGGTATTTTGTGTTAAGATAGATCAGGTTCATTGTGGATTCAATAACTGAACAAATTTCTTTCTCTGTATGCAGAGTTCAGGACTCAACATGTGAATTGACATTACTTCTGCGGTTTGAAGAAGTTTGATTCGTACCCCCTTTAAGCAAGATTCCAACATATTCTGTAAATAACCCAAAAGTTATTTTTACGGTTAGCTTGGTGTCCAGATTCAATCAGGTGTTCCAGGATAGAGCTACGGGGAGCATCTTTTTTCTCCTTTATAAAACCATGAGCGGGTAAGTGTTCCCTGATACATTTGGATAACAAACGCTGGGTACGGCCAACATACCTAATTGGTAGACAGGCCAACAGTGGTAGCCTATCCTTCACGTTCATGTGAAATAGTGGTTTCATAGAGAAAGTTATATGAAGTTCGCTCAAATTCTAGCTGAATTTCTCTACTCAACCGCGTCAATTACATTGCATCACTCAACTTACTTAATTCTATTCTGGTTTCTGACAGTTTAAAACTTTCTATATTACGTAATTTGTTATCAAAAATTTACAATTCTAATGACACATCTTTGGAAATATTCCTTTTGTTGCAAGGATAATTTACTATATGCGTATATGCAAGATTGTACAACATGAGAATGTATATCGCCGAAAAACGTTACGCTTTCACTGAACGCCTTTCCTTCTATTCTAAATCAACGAGGTTATTCCCCTTTTCTTCCTTCACGTTCCAAGTAGAACATAGGGCTTCAAGCTAGTGGCTTGAAGTTTCTGTAGCACTGTTTAATTTTACAGGATAGGGTTGCTAGCCTCATGCCTAACCTTCTCTCTTTACCAGCTTTATCACAGGCTTAGCGAGTTAAAGGAGTGCGTTGGCCGGGGATCAAGCCCCAGACCATGTGCATGGTCGGCGAGCGTCCTAGCCGCTATGCCACCGAAGCTGGTGGTGACAAATCAATCCCTGAGTCACTGAAGTCAGATAGAGTTAGTTAGTTCATCCCTTAGTACATCTATAATTAAATTAAACAGAAATTGGGGGAGTAGTCGTAGGCATCCCTGATGGTGCTTTGCCTCGTTTCAGATTAGAGACGGCTTTTGTAACCTCAGTTAGGGACGGCTTACCAGTGTTTATATCCCAATCAGGAAAGTGTTGGATGCTCAGCAAGTTGAGCGTGCGTGGCCACAGACCGGTTAAATTGCTCCTCAAAATGTTTCTTCTGGAGTTCCAGTCGTCTATCCTAAGAGCTAATTAGGGTGGCATTTTTCTCGGAGATTCTTATGTTTATCATTTTCTTTTGCCACCTTTCTCCCTGATAAGTCTAAATAGTTAACTGGTAATGGCTAACACCACTGTTTGGATTTTCAACACGAATATAAAGTCAGTTAGTGCTTCAACTTGCCACAATTATCGAGAAAAGCGTTCCCACCAGGCTAATGCAGGTGGTTTCCATATGAGCACTTGCCCCCCCCCCTTCACTGTTTCCACCATACTGAAAATTAAGTGGCCGGCTGTTTAGAAAGCATAAGCAAAAAGGAATTCTGAAGGGCGACGAACCAACCAGCAAACCAAGAACCTATCACTCAACAAATACTCAGAAGGCAGAGGAGATTCATGCATTGAACAATACACTGAGGATGAATGAGCATTTCGTCGTCCTATCTTCAGACTCGTCAATTCGCTACACCTTAATGTGTAGGTGACAGGCAGTGTTGCCTGCCTCACTCATATCGCTGCATGCAGACAGCCATGGACATCAAATCGATTGGGACAACGTTCAACATATTAGGAAGAGGAAATACTAAAAATGCCTTAAAATTTTTGGAAGCCTGATATCCTAGTGAATCGGCAATTATAGGCACATTGACACGGAAGAAGAGATTCCCATGCACAAAAAATGAGACTTCAAGTCAAGGAAACAATCAATACCACTACAAGTAGACTAGATTGTGTGAAAATGGACAAGAGCAACCAATCACATGCTCAAGGTCACCATAAATTCGCGGGGAAATTGAAAAACTCACACCTCAAACTGAAGATGTTGCCTAGATTAAGGCAATGAAAGCCTTGCAAGGACGCTATCCAGCTCAGAGAAGACAACTACACAAAAATGAGTAATCAAATCATTCGATAAATATTTTACAAATTTATTTCAGTAAATTATCAAAAATAATAATAAAAAGGACAGGAATATTCGAAAGTACAAATATATACACACATATACATATTTACATGTCTCCCACAAACAAACATCTGAGTGGAAAAAACTGTTGTGACAATAATAATAATAATCCCTTTATTACATATATACACGGTTGCTCAACTGAGACAAAGTCGTTGAATACTATCATCTGTTTGACAGTGCAGTTCAGAGTAACGAATACTGTTATTCATCACAGATACATTATCGTTATCACTGTCATTCTCACCAGGAATATTCACAGGTAGACGACTAGCTTTGCGCACAACAGATCGCCATTCAGCTGATTTGTGTACCATATTCAAGGTGTTGTTATAACCACACGATAGATAATTCGACAATTGAGGAATAGATTTATGCAGTGTAGATTCAACCAACTCAGCGATGCAATTAAGAAGACATTCAGTTTCGTTGATTAAAGTATTCACAGCATCAAGAATTGGTTTAGCATTAGAGTTGTTAGTGTTGTTGTTGTTGTTGTTGACATCGTCGCTCTTGGAGGAGGAGTTTGAGTGTTTCTCATAAGCCACAAATTGGAAGTCACTGACTGAATTCGGAAAGAATACAATTTCACTGAAAAGATTGAGTAATTCCTGTGAACTACAAAGAGGAAGCGATGGGGAGGGGGAGAAGGAGGTAAAAAGTGAAAGACCGAATAACTAATTAAATGCACTATAAAATGAAGTCTTCGTAAAGTTTAATTTTAATTTTTGATTATAGCTTGAAACCACACAGTATTTTGGTACAAGTATGGGATTTTTAGCATGCGATATCGGTAGCCCAAATTTCGTAGGCCGATCTAATTGGTACCAAATGTGCGTCAGCAGGGGATCGAACCCCGGCGAGAGTCCTAACGCTGTGTCACCGACGCACAGTACAGTAGAGATAATATAAAAAAGGCCATCTTTATACACATTGGCTTCTAGGAGGTGATGGATGATATTGCGCTGGCTAGAGTAGAATGCTATGCAGGCTGAATGCTGCCCTGAAAAGAAAATATCCCAGCTACAAGACTTGACAAGATGTTTAATGCAATTAGTTCCCCTTATGAATTTCCACAAAAAAAAATAATAAGATGTAGTTTATCCGAAAAACGTGTGTAATGTGCCTAATTTGTGCAACACATTCCAGACACTCTGAGTACTTTTCTCACACACATTTATACAGAAGGCAAGAAAGCATGAATCATCAAAGTACAGGTTAAGGTCACAAATAACTTGCGGGAAGACGACATATGGGTATGGGGTAAGAAAAAAAATGAATGGAGAGGATGAAAATATCATTAAGTAAACTCAACCTTGGTTCCAAACTGGACACATAAGACAGATTTAAGCCTTTTCATGACCAAGGCTTCAACGAATTTAAGTATGTGACCCAACCTTATTTCATAATGTATGGGGTTTAAAAGCACTATTGAAATCAACTTTGTGATCAGTTTCCATGATGTGCTTCGCTATACATGATGTTGGACATTTATTTCCGGTGATTTTATTTGTTGTCGTTGCAACCACTTTGGAATATGTTCTGTAGTTCTAATCTGCAGGGACCGATGGGTCCTCCCTATGTATTTTTTTTTATTTCAGCTTGCTTCCACACCGTATTTTTTGGTACAGGTATGGAATTTTCAGTATGTGATATCGGTAGCCCAAATTTTGCAGACACAGTGGGTAGGTCTCTCGCCGACCATGCACATGGTCCGAGGTTCGATCCCCTGCCGACGCACATCTGATATCTATGGTGGGCCTCCGAAATTTGGGCTACCGATATCCATGCTGAAAATTCCATACTTGTACCAAAAATACAATGTGGAATCAAGCTGTAAATCAAAAATAAATAAATAAATAAAATATCAGGTGTGCGTTGGCAGGGGATCGGACGTGTGTCAAGACACACACATGTAAATTGATAAACACAGTGGGATGTGACACTATCGTTTGGATGCTGTGAGGGTTTACAGGACAGTATATATCTTTTTTTTCTCTCTATGAAAATACGTTTGGGTGAATGGTAAGTTCTATTAAATGCCACCTTGGGTCTTTATTCAGTCATCAGAGTTTGTTGATAACCCCTATACAGCAGGGACAGACAGACATGTTTTTAATAGCTGACTCGATCGGTAGACCTCCTTTCTTTTTATCTTACGTCACACCTATAAGTCATCTTCCTAATCCTTATTTATGAACTCCACCTGCAAACAATTTGACTTGTAATAATTCATGCCAACTCTTGCATTCTATACAAATGTGTATGACAAGCACTCGTGTGGGCGTGTGTGTGTGTGACTAGAATATCCTAAATGTGTTGCACGAATACGCACATTCCATGTTTCAAATAACAATGACGTCTAATTATTTTGTCTAAAAGATATTGAAAAAATAACGGTTACACCCTCAGAAATCCATGAACAAGTAGAGAAGATGTGAGCGGAAGGTTTAAACGCCACCAAACAAACAAATCACAGTGTGTATGTGTTAAGGCAGGGAAACTTATCTTTATTCAACTTCAACTTAAATAGTCAGAAGAAGACTGAACAGCTGATTAGGCAAAGAACCTATTATCCTCCGCAGCTGGCTAAGTTGGTTAGTTCCCGTTCATTGGGCAACCATATGTCTCTAGTTTGTTGCAATTAAAAGTTGACGGGATACACTCTTCACCTGAACAACTCTAAATATGTGTATACAAATTTACATGTATCTCTGGTAAGACAAGACTGCCCATTACCACTCATGCTGATATTCCTTATTGTGGTGTACTAGATTATACGTCAAACTGTTAGTGGGGAACGAGAAAACAGAAATATACTGCACCAAACAATAAGACGACTCTAGAAAATCTGGAATTCGTGAGTAGAGATGACTTTTGTCTAATGTCACACACAACACTCTCGAAGACTTACAGGCGAAAACCAACGGGTTGGCGGAAGAAGCAGGCAGCGAAGGCAGGACTTTGAGTGAACATCAAGAAAATGGAGATGATGAAAATAACTAACCAGGCAACAACGACAACAACCGGCAGCAATCACTATCGAAGGACCGGCGTTTCGTTCTGTGGCAATCGCTATCAAATGTGTTTAAGACAAAATCTATGCACGTAAACGGAGACAGAAAGAGAGACAGGAGTGGAACTTGTACTACAACTGTCTGTCTGTCTGTTTTCGACATAGAACTTTGCACAAATGTGCGGAAGTTCAAGTCGCCACACTCCACTCCTTGTAGCACACAAAGCAAGAGAAGAAAGTACAAGAAAAGCATAATAGAGACAGTGAGCAGAGGTGTGCGACAAAGGAGGAGTAATAACGAAGAACAAAACAGTTTCATTGGAGATCATAAGTCACAAGGAGTGGATGCATCTGCGCTAGCCACTGAGAACGATTTTGAGCCATGTCACCAATTGTTTCCAACCATAGATTTTTACCGTCTCGAGGACCCCAACCAGTCAGGAAGTCTACACCTTCCTACGTGGCTTAGACCAACTGTTGTGGATTTCATTGACTGGTGAAGCCAAGTTTTTGTTTGACCGCCGCTAGCTTTTTTCCAGCCTGACCCTATATTCGCTAACATTGCTCGTCGAGGGAGGCGATGGCTTGGCATACGTAACACATGTCCTAACCATCTCAGTCTTTGTAACTTCACGACTTCGTCGATTGATTTCCCCAACAACAACCTACTACAACTACCTTAATAATAAAAAAGTACAGCTTATATCTTACTTCGTGTTCAGAAAATCGTATTGTTCCATGGAAGCATGACTTATCACCCTACCGCATAACCACTTTTTTGGCATTTTATGCAAACGTACCTTTTCTGTGGTTACTTAACCCCCTTATTGCATACATTCTTATGCTATTTCTAGTTTAACGAAAAAAAATATGGGATTATATGGAAGGTGTAAAGGAGTACAAGAGAAATAAGGAGTTAGCAAAACAAACCAACAAACAAAAATCAAGTGAGTAGAAATGGTGGAATAATTTTCTTTTGTATGTACGCAATAGGTCGGTTTTTTCGTCTACCTGAATGGCTAAAGCTTCAGCAATGTAAAGGAGATGAAAGCGTGTTGCCTTTGGCAGGTTATTGTTCATTTTGTAGATTACTATTTGAAGGAGGCGTTTGTTCAGATAGTAGAATGACCAATGCGTTGACAAGGTGTTCGATTATCGCACTGTTTATAGAGCTGCCATTTCTACCTTTCTGCAACAATGCGAAGGATAGTGTTCCTGAACCTATTCAGTTAAAGAGACCATTGTGAACTGAACAGTTGTTTAGTTCCAATAATTTGGGACTCATCATCAGCAGTGGACACCCACCCACAACCCCGCCACTATACGGATCGAACCACCCGGGATCTCCAGGTGGTTGATTACGCTAACAAGCTAGTTGACAACCATTTTTTGACTGATTGGGTTGGTGCGACTCAATGAATGACCGCTGAATTTTATCACTGTGAACAACTCGTGCGTGATGATTTAGTCCTACCCTCTTACCAACGCCCTCAATCAGCATCCACTCCACACCTTAGTGGTTCGTGACGAAAATCAACAGATTGAAATTCATCCATAATCCCCACAAATCTAACTCCCGTTCTTCTGAATATCAACCGCCAGCTACTCATTGGTGACTAATGTTTGAATAGATGAATGCAGTGGGCAGTTGTGAATCCACTACCATCTCAAGGTGAAGTGGGTTCTCACTAAGGCTATTTTGTGGTTGAAGGTACCGTTTTGTCACGCACGAGGTGACAGAATGTTAGAAATAACGGGAATGTTGAATTCTATCGACCACTTCACTTATTCGGGAAATTGCATTAGCTGATGAAATCTCAGTACGGATACAAAAGGCTCGTTTTGGCATTTCCCAATTAACGCCTTCTTTGGCTTAGTTGACGTGATATCCAGCTGGCTGGTTATCGATCCTATGGTGCGTGCATTGCTCAGCATCAGTTCCCACAGTCTTCCTCTATGGTAATGAGTAAGACATGCCAGTCATTGAAAATGGAAAAAATGAAAAGGCAAGCTAGCTGTCTTTCATCATACGTACCTGCGTTCCATGTCCATTGTGTTAGGCGGTACAATAAGAGTCAATCACACTAAGGTGGTTGGGTGTCTAGTGTTAGTTAGGTAAGGAAGGAGTGAGGGAAAATCAATCGCGAGATTGTGAAGCAGATGCATCGATTGAGATGGCTAGGACATGTGTCACCCATGCTAGCCTAACCATCCATCGATCGTCTTCCTCGATGGGAAATGTTAGCTTATGTTGCATGGGCATAGGATGGATCAGGTTGGAAAAGAGTTAGATAGTCGTGAGTGTTCTAACGAAAACATAGCTTCATCAGTGAACAAAATCCATAACAGTTACTTTAAGCCAACCAAACAGTCAGCCGTCATATAAGAAGGTGTAGACTGCCTGCCTACATCAGAGTTGGGGTCTTCTTGAAGATAAGAAGTAATGAAGACTGGAGACTGTTGGCGGTGACATGGCGCAAAATCCTCGATCTTGATGATAGACGGCTAGGATGCATCCTCTCTTTGGGCAATTTTTCATGTCATCCAATAAAATTCTAGGGTCCTTCCATAGAACTACCATTCTTTTTCCCTCACTCACACTTGTATTTATTCCCTATCTCTCTCTTTAAACTGTGTTTAGTCTCTGCTATTGCTTTGTGTGCTACGTGAAGACGGAGAGTGTGGCAACTGGAACTGCCGCACTTCTGTGCTGAAACCAGTCAGTGACTGGATTCTGCCAGTACAAGGGGGTGAATAGTTGTCAATGAGCTTGGTCTCAAAACCAACCACCTAAAAGTCCCGGGTAGTTCGAGCCATTGGCGGGTGGGGTTTTAGGTGTACACGTTGATGAAGATGGGTCCCAAATTAGGACTAAACAGCTGGCTGTCCAGTACTCCTCGGGTTTCAAAGCATCAACACTACACACGTAATTACGTCACTACATACCATCCTATGTACTGATTTACATGTGTGTGTGTGGCCACACATACATAGAAAGGAGTAATCGCATACGTTTTAGATATGGATAGCATATGTAAAAGAAGAAAGGTAATAGTACATCTGCCACGGTATCTTCAAAAAAACGTTTACCAATGAAGTTTTGACGGGACTAAGAAACATCAATTTCCTGTCTCTGTAATATGTTTCGCAATGGAGGATCTAGGTCGTGTGTTCTCGCCATTAATAAGTTCTAGAGATTTCATTTGCTTTTGAAGCCATTTAGGAATATACTCTGAAGCAGAGATCAACGAGTCTTTCCTTTGATGTATATGTATCGACACATACATTTGGATTGGTAAATACGGTGGGATTTAAAATAATTTTTCTCATGTTCTAAGGGCTTAGATTGATATATGGTTGGAGGAACTGTGAAACCTCGATAAACCTCGGTAGTAAGTGGCGACAGATAGAGCATCAATTTCGTCTATCTATCTATACATAGCAAAACCACACTTCATTGGATATGAATTGCACAAGATAATAACGTACTGGACAATTGTGATTCGTCCCCGCACCACCACCACCACCACCACTGCAGAGTCGGACTTCTCCGCCTCAGCAGTACGCACTTATCGTACGTAATCCCACCCGACCACATGGAACTGAACTACTCACGACCATCATAATCACGAAGAATGACCTCCTGTTGACGAAAACCACTAAATTACACACCATGTGAGACAGTGGCATCTAATGTCCGACACACGAATTCAAATTTACTAACTACAGGAGGAAGGGAAAGTTGCATGAAGTGTTTTAGTGTGTATGTGTGTGTGTGTGTGTGTGTGTGTGTGTGTAAGGACAAATCGTCTCCGTAGATGACATTGACTATATTATTATTGTTCCCTTGGGTCGCAAATGGAACACAGGACTCCAATCGCAACACATCTCCATTTTCGATAGAGAAAGAAAGACTAGATTTGCAGTATAAAATGTGATATCATCATTCTATTTCACAGGTTATCATCAGTTAACTGTAAACTACCTGAAATTACAATGGTTATAAATAACAATAACATTTCATACTTCACTGTTTGAAAGGTAGGTAATAGAGAAAACATTATACGGTGAACTCATCTGGAATATAAGTATTGTTATTATTATTTACGTTATTATTTATAACCATTGTAATTTCAGGTAGTTTGCAGCTGATGAGAAACTTTGGAATAAAATGATGATATCATTTTATACTGCAAATCTGGTCTTCCTTTCTCTATCTAAATTTATCAAGGGAACTATATGTATCAAATTTTCGAAAGGACACCTCCCTGTCCAGGCATCTCCACTTTGTTTTATTTTCTGCCATCTCCCCTAGACTGTCATCCAATGGACAGTCAACCCGGTGGAGAGCGCCGGGCATCCGCTTTCGCCCTCTCACTTTGGTGAGAAACACCTCCGCCACGTGAAGGCACTGAGTAGGACTTCCTCAGGAGAGGCTATGTAAGACGCCCGGTCATATGGGAGCATTTCAAGAGGTGTGCGGAGGGGTGGCCAACCCGCAGCGCAAGGCACCCACCCCCGACCATCCTGAGGCTTTGGAGGCTGTTAGAAATAATTAATCTTAGTTGAAACGATGTTTCCTAGCCAGATAAGTGAAGGAAGTGACCTCTTTCGAATTCCGTCCATTGATAGTGATTGGTGCCGGTTGTTGTTGTTGTTGCCTGGTTGATTGGTCGTTTTCATCATCTTCCTCATTTTCTTAATGTTCACTCAAAGTCCTTCCTGTCTTCGGCTCCCTGCTTCTTCTGTCAACCTGTTGGTTTTCGCCTGTAAGTCTTCGACAGTGTTGTATGTGACATTAGACATAAATCATCTCTACTCACGAAGTCCAGATTTTCTAGAGTCGTCTTATTGGTTGGTGTATTCCGAGACGTATTCCTCTCTCTTCTCGTTCCCCCTAAACAATCTGACGTATCTGTCTGTCTGTCTGTCTGTCTGTTTTCAACATAGAACTTCGCACAAATGTACGGAAGTTCAAGTCGCCACACTCCACTCCTTGTAGCACACAAAGCAAGAGAAGAAAGTACAAGAAAAGCATAATAGAAACAGTGAGCAGAGGTGTGAGGCAAATGAGTAATAAAGAAAAACAAAACAGTTTCATTGGAGATCATAAGTCACAAGGGAGTGGATGCATCTGCGCTAGCCACTGAGAACGATCTCTTTGACCCATGTCACCAATTGTTTCCAACCATAGATTTTTACCGTCTCGAGGACCCCAACCAGTCAGGAAGTCTACACCTTCCTACGTGACTGGCTTAGACCAACTGTTGTGGATTTCATTGACTGGTGAAGCCAAGTTTTTGTTTGACCACCGCTAGCTTTTTTCCAGCCTAACCCTATATCCGCTAACATTGCTCGTCTGACGTATAGCCTAGTCCACCACAATTAGGAATAGCATCGTGGGTGATAATGGGCAGCCAACCTTGTCTTACTTTTCCTTACACTTAAACAGCAGCTTCTCTGAGCTTTCCGCTGTGGATCACCTGACACTTGGCATTGTCATTTAACCAGCTGTGGTTGGACGAGGTTGACAACAAAAACTTATAACACCGCACTCCATATTGCTGATTGAAGGAGTGTTTCCAAATTACTTCACGGTCACCGCTGTCGAAGGCAAATTGATAGAAGTCACAATTCAAGCGCCAGTGTCCTACTGGATTCCACCGTTCCGTGCTGTGGCTGAATGAATGGGGTTGTCAACCTAAAGATCCTGGATGATCCCACTATGAAACCTTAAAGAAATACAGTTTCAAAATGAAATTTAAAAAAAAAACAGACAAAATCATTAACTAATGAACATTGTAGCTATTTACCTTGAGCCTATTGCAATGAATGTTGTCACTGAAGCCGCTGCACTGTTATTATTCACACATAAACACAATCCAGTGAAGGGATCATTTGTAATAAAATATACAATCTGTTGCTTTAATCTGTACACATTCCATGTACAGAATTGATTCAATTTCGCCTCTAAAATATGACAAATCGATAAGTGTGGATCAGTGATCATTAATGCCAAAGGATTGCGATCACTTTTCTTTGCATCAGTACCGATGAGATTTGTAATAGTCCACATTTTACAGAATGGATATATTGCACTAGATAACATTGGAAACGATGTGTTTGTCATTGATGTCTCCAACAGTGTCAAATAATAATTGTGTAGACTGTAAGCATCCAATGTAAAATCCTTTAAAAATACAGTGAGCTGATTAAATAAATGTAGGAGAATAGACGTCTTTTTCAAACTGTCGGCTATGCGTAGAAACAAGTGTATCCTGAGAGTTTTATCTCCATCGATGGTATCCTCCTCCATATGGGTAACATTGTCTTGAATACTTGATAGAAAGATATCCCTTGATGTGTAGGCAAATACATTCAGGGATAGTGTTTCTTCGATTGACGTGTCGCTTCCTCTCTTCGTCTTCTTCTTCCTCCTGACGAAAATTTCAGGTGACAACCATGAATCCATGATGATAGGCAGCTTAGACGACGTTGAAGGTGACGCAGAGGACGAAGCCACAGAGGTACGTACCTGTGGATGTAATGAAACCCTAAAGGCATGATCGTCTGTCCCACAACTCTCCTTAAAAATCATCTTTATATGTAAACATATTATTGACCACCAACGACAACGATCTGATATCTTATCCCCCCACCTGAACTCACTGGTACACAGAACATCAAGGGGGTTTGATCAATTATCAACGTTGGTAATCTCCAAGATGAGTCTCTAGCCTGCGTACTGATGAATGGGCAGTATGTGTATGATGTTATCCTACTACCAGGACCCTCAGTAGGATGAGTTGACTCCAGTATAGCTTGTAAGTTTATGCGGCGGTTTTCTCGAAGAACGAATACATTTGTTGGATAAGTATTTGACAAGGAATGCTTACTCTTACTACCATTATGACTGTCACCAACAGTGGTAGTAGTAGTAGTAGTAGTAGTAGATGTGGTGGTGGCGTCGTAAGGAATAGATGTGGCTCGAAAACACTGTCGAATAATTGATTCACTTGCATCCAAATCATCGATTATTTCATAAATGACGAATTCAGAGTTCTACAACAAATCAATAAAGATATAAGTTTATTTGAAATATCATCAGCAGCAGCAGCAATATAAACAACTGGATGACAAGGTTGCCAGCATATATTATTGCCAGTCACGATCATCATATCAATTTAGTCACACGGATTCACAATTTGTCTTGTAAATACTGTTATCTCTACCTATGCCTCTAGTCGTTTGGTGCTAGTTCTGTATCTCGGGTATAGGCACTGTATCATTCCAACTGCATGTGTGCGGTGTATTGATTAGATAAACAAAGACTCAGTCAGTGATTAACTTCACTCTCTCTCTCACTGTCTCCACCTAACTATATTACTTTCTAATACTCTCACCCTGTTCCACTAAACCAACCTATTTTGTGATAAAATGTACGTGAAAGCAATGCAATGCAATAGCTGAGCCCTGTCATTTAACTTATCACGGTCAGTTATTCTACGTCTAGCTAAATGTGTGTTCCAATAATCTAATTGACCTCGACCTACTAGTTTGACCTATAATATAAATGACCTCACAATCATCATTACATGGTATTTGGTAAATTAAATGTGATTTTTCTTAATTGGATCTATTGTGTTCTTCAGCCGACAAAGTTAATCTCCGAGACAGTTTGGTTGGTTGATTAGTCCAAATGCCACCCCAACTAATTCCAGTCTCACTGAGAATCCTACGTAAGGCGTCCGACATTCCTTCTTCATACGGCCGTACTACTACACAGGCTTCAAATTCTACATTATTTTCTTCGTTATTCTGGTCATTTTCATTGCTAATCCAATACTCTCCCTATGGTTTTCTCTACATTTCTGAACCAATTCTGGTGGGTAGTTAGTTATTCACCAGTAATGTTTTCTTTATTTGTTTGATTTCACCTGGCTATTTCGTCAACCTAGCTAGTAGGGACTCTCCCGGCAGTACGCACTCACCATCACAGGGGTTCGAATCGCCTCGGAGACCTTCTGGTTACTGGGAAAGCTCATAGACGACCATTCACAGTCACTGGGACCCTTGCCACCTATGAATTCTAACTTCTACCATTTTCTTGATGATTTTAGCGTGACTAGCGGCGGCACCAGCCATAGGTGAGCGAGTATTCATCCTCATACTCACTTGATAACTGACTTGGTGAATGGACCACCACCCCGCAGTGGTCACGACTTCCTACTACTTAAGAACACTCCAGGGGTAACTTCATCCACCTGTAGCCACCAGTCACACTCAAATAGTGAGTAAAAGATACATTTTCATTTGGGTTAGGGACTATCCGGTTCTTAGTGGTTCTCCCTAATTGTCATATCACACACAATCCGTGACTCAAATTTGAAAAATACGGACGTTGCGTAATATCTAAGCTTAAAAGGCGATATTCTCTAGCTGCCCACTGGTCCTATGCTATGTGTAGTAGGACAAAGTTCCACATGTAACCGACCACATTCTAATATGCATATATATGAACAATAACAGTAATAATAATCACTTTATTTCAAACAATAATAATACAGAATGGAATTTCCAGAGTTTTTGTACACATTACAACAACTTAACTCTTCTTATAAATATTCGCACACATGAAATTTCAAAAAATTATCAATAATAACAAAGCCACAAAAAGCTGAAGGTTGGCAGAAACATAATGAATTATAAACAGATAGTGTCATAGATAATGTCTGTTTGTCTGTCTGGATTCAACATAGAACTTGGCACCGAAGTGCAGCAGTTCGAGTTGCCACGTTCCAAATAGCACACAGAGGTAGACAAGAAGATGAGTGGAGAGAATTAATAGAGTTTGACAAGTATACGAGTGAAACAGAATGGGTAATGGTAGAAAGGAATATGAAAGATTACAGAGATTGAATACATCTGCGCCATTGACAACGATTTTGAGCCATGTCACCTATTGTCTCCAGCCATTGATTCCTAGAGTCCCGAGGGCCCCAACCCGGGAGTCTGCATCTCCCTACCTGACTCAGTTTAACTGTCAAGGATTTCATGGATTGATGGGCCATGTTTTTGTTTGGCCACCACTGGCTCTTTTCCAACCTGAACCTATATCAGCTAACAATGCCCGTCGGGGGAGGCGGTGGTTAGGCATGCGCACCACGTGACCTAGCCATCTTAGTCTATGTAACTTTATAACCTCGTCGATTGATTTTCCCTCTTTGCCCAACACTCTACGCCTAACGTCAACATTACTTATCTTGTGAAACCACCTAACGTGAGACAGAGATCGCAGATAATAATAATCTTTGCCTTCACTTTGCAGTTCAGTTACTGATTTAAAAGTTTGTGAGTTCTTTGCTGACATCTAAATCTCGCTCTTTACACAAAACCCGTGCTAAATATGGTGGTATGATAGAATTCCTTTATATTTATTAGCTGTACGAGTATAAATTCTTCTGAAATTTTTTCTGGTTTCACTACCCACCCACCAGAGTGATACCGGGAAAAAGTTGCGAACAAATGAAGAGGATGTTCGGTATTAGACAAGATAACCTTAGCCAACCTGCTTGCAACCATTACAGTGCCTATCCACAAGCACAATGTCAATTAGTTGAGTCAAAGCCCACACACACACACACACACAACCTGCTTACAACCTTCAGTGTTCTACGTAGCATGTACGACTAGTCTTTTTTGAGAAGTCCAGGGAAGAATAAGTGGATACGGGGAACAGTAAAGAAGGTGAATGGGCAGTAAAAATGAATTAACAATAAATTATAAGATAAGAGGTTGAATTGAGTTATGCTAGCAGAAAGCCTCCGCTTCCTTTTTAAGTAATAAGTCAAACAAAAACTTTTGTGCTTAGACATCAACAGGATATGAGACGACCAACAGAGAGTTGAAGCGAAACTGATGCTACCGAGATAAGAGATATTTGTTTTACTCTCTAACACAGTGCCATCAATATTATAGGAATCATGGGAGTGAATCAGAAAGTCCCATCAAGTCTTGTTTGCATCTTATTAAATAATAATAATTAATAATACTTTGATACAGCTATTAGCATTAAATAGAGAAAAATCAGTAAAAACAATATCGTTTTGTTTTTTCATTCATTGGGAAATACAAAAACCTTTATTATAATGGACTTGTTTGCATCTGAAATCAAAATGAACAATATGACACATTTAGATGGATTCAGTTTAAGACCGTTCGTTAACTTTAGATGAACTCACCTGCCCTTCTATGGAGCTACGTACATAGGTCATGTTCTACATGAGTGTCCTTTCAAAATGGGGGTTAGGAAATACTACACTGATATGTATCCACATATATATATATTTATGTGTGTGTGCATGTTGGTCTCTCTTTCTGTTTGCTCGGTTAGTCTGTGACCACTTCACTTGTATGGATATGATAGAGAAGATTTGTAGCTCAGGTGGATAATTTTGATGTGTTTTGTTCTCTGAGCTGGATAGTTTGAAGTATGAGCTGAAGATGTCACCCAGTAAGGTGATGAAAGCTTCGCAAACTAACTATCCAGCTCAGAGAACAAAACCACATCACTTGTATGGACTTGTCTCCTTTAATAATGTGTATTCTCCTTATATTATATTATATATAATATGAGTGTTTGTTGACAGTCCGTTGCTTGGTGACATATATCCATATATGTTTGTTGGCATGTCTGCTATATTCGCTATGTATAATTGGATCGACACTCCATTATAATTAGCCATTCATGTTAAGACTGTCTAATGATTTTCCCACGCTTGTCTGAATTATTTTATATATATTCGCATTCACAATTTGTGTGAACTACTTTACTTTACAACTGCTTTACTTACTTACCACTTTGGTGTGAGACCATTTATTTTCGTCTCCTTGTGTTTGGACAATAGAAGTATCATCGCAAACCTAGTGGTCTTCTGATTTCCGCCTTCTCGCGTCAGGACTATTAGTTTCTCGACCAGTCCATAACAATATTTAGCGACGAGTACATAACATACACTACACTACCCAGCATAACTGCGAAGAGGTCCGCACTTGTCCGCAATCAGAAGTGCTTTAATTAAACATCTCGTCACTGAACACACCTCTCACAACACAGTATCTCCACTAACTCATTCAGTATTATCTAGTGCCACTTAATAACCTTTTTCTGTAATATAAATACGACTGTACAGCTTGAAAATGAAGTCGTTGAAAAGAAATTTCTTCGCTGAACAAAAAAAACTGTGTTTTTACTTGAGAATAAATGGGTATTTTTCATTATTCGGAATCCACCAACAATAATGTTTTTGATTTCCGTGAACAGCAGAACCTCTCAATACCATATGTGTCAAGAACACCGGAGTTATGTGTTCAAAATAAAGGAACTAGTCCAACCTCTACAACTTTTAACATGCACCCTCCATAATCTAGGATCAGGATTAAAAACTCTAAAAGCTCTATGTTCCTAACCGTCCATATATATGTCGGCTGAAGAACACAATAGATCCAATTAAGAAAAATCACATTTAATTTACCAAATACCATGTAATGATGATTGTGAGGTCATTTATATTTATACACTGAACAAAAGAGTGAAGAAGAGTGCCAGGGAAGACAAAAGAAAATATTATGAAACCATGGCAAACGAAGCAGAACAAGCTGCAGGCAAAGGAGACCTCGCCACACTCTACCAAACAACTAGGCACCTTTCGGGCAAAAGTTCGACACAGATTAAGCCAATAAAGGACGACAATGGAAAGTCAATCACTAAAGAGGTGGAACAGAGAAAACACTGGGCTGAACACTTCAAAAGACTTCTAAATCGTCCGCCACCTACAACACGCCCAACAATACCAACAACGGAAGCAGAACTACCAGTGAACATTGACCCCCCGACGAAATCAGAAGTCCTGAATGCAATCAAGATGCTAAAAGCTGGGAAGACACCAGGACCAGATGGAATCCCAGCAGAAGCTTTGAAAATAGACCCAGAGACAACAGCGGACTTGATGACGCCACTGTTGGAGAAGGTGTGGAAAGAGGGCAAAGTACCCGAGGATTGGAAGAACGGATACTTATTCAAACTTCCAAAGAAAGGAGACTTAAGTCAATGCAAAAACTGGCGTGGAATTATGCTTCTGTCCATTCCAAGCAAAATACTAAGTCGCATCATCCTGGAGAGAATCAAACAAGCCCTAGATGAAAAACTTCGACCGGAACAGGCCGGATTCAGGAGAAACAAATCATGTATTGATCAAATCGCCACTCTACGGATCATCATTGAACAAAGCTTGGAATGGCAGTCACCTCTCTATCTCAACTTCATCGACTTTGAAAAGGCCTTCGACAGCGTCGATCGGGAGGTCATTTGGCAACTACTTCGCTACTACGGGGTCCCATCGACAATTATACATCTCATCCAACAGTTATACGACAATGCTGCATGCCAAGTAATCCACAACGGGAAACTTACGGAAGCCTTCGAAGTGAGGACGGGAGTGAGGCAAGGCTGTCTACTATCACCAATGATCTTCCTGATTGCAGTAGACTGGATAATGCGACAGACAACGGCAACCAACGAGGGAACGGGCATAAAATGGACTCACACAAAAGACTTGGAGGATCTGGACTTCGCCGATGATATATGTCTGATTTTCCACAAACTGGAAGATATGCAAGTGAAAAGCAACAAGTTGTCAGAAGAAGCATCCAAGATAGGACTTCAAGTGAACATAGATAAAACAGAGGTGATGAAGATTCCTGGCCAACACCAACAGCAACACCAACAGACAATAATCAGTATAAATGGGAGGAACCTGAAAGAAACAACCTCCTTCACCTACCTAGGAAGCATCGTTTCAACTACAGGCGGAACTGACGAGGATATCAAAGCCAGAATCGGAAAAGCAAGACAAGCTTTCATTTCTCTTAAGTCTGTGTGGAAGTCAACAGTACTCAGCATGAAAAATAAGATCCGGATTTTCAACTCCAATGTGAAGTCAGTGCTACTTTACGGATCAGAGACTTGGCGAGTCATAAAGAGCATCTCAAACAAACTTCAGACCTTCACTAACAGCTGTCTTCGCTCATTACTCAAGATCAGATGGCCAGAAAAGATCAACAACAGCGATCTCTGGGAGCGAACCAATCAGGAACCGATTGTGAAACAAATTGGCAGGAGGAAATGGAGATGGATTGGCCATACTCTGAGGAAACCAGCAAGTGACATCACTAGACAAGCCCTCGAGTGGAACCCGAAAGGGAGGCGGCGAGTTGGTCGTCCAAGGGTGACTTGGAGGAGGTCATGCGAGGAGGAGATGAAAGCATGTGGACAGACCTGGAGCGGGGTGAAAAAGTTGTCAGAAAACAGAAGGCAATGGAGGTGCGCAGCTGAATCCCTATGTTCCTCTAGGAACTAAAGGATACAATAATGATAATTATTATTATATTATACGTCAAACTAGTAGGTCGAGGTCAATTAGATTATTGGAACACACATTCAGCTAGACGTAGAATAACTGACCGTGATAAGTTAGGTAACCTATAGAAAACAGGGCTCAGCCATTGCATTGCATTGCTTTCACATACATTTTATCACAAAATAGGTTGGTTTAGTGGGACAGTGAGAGAGACTGATGTTAATCACTGACTGAGTCTTTGTTTATCGAATCAGTACACCACACAAGAGCATTCGAAACGTCGTAATGCCTATCCCGGAGATATGGGGAGTGACAACAAACGACAAGGAGAAGAAAGATAATATACATGAGACAGATCGTCAGTCTGTGTGACTAAACTGACATGGTGACTATAAGTGGCAATAATTTATGCTGGAAACCTTGTCATCTAATTGTTAATATTGCATATGTGTGATGCTTTAAAATAAACCTATCTAATGTGGGATCAGGATACTCAACTAAACAAAATAAGCATTATCAAATAAAACATTTTATACAACAGAACTTACTTGAAATAATGAATTATTCCTACTGTCTGTCTCATCCATTTCAGAGATCAGTTGAAATTTCTTCCACTGATTAACGTTCCACAGACGACAAAGACCGAATTTCTTAGCTGATCATCTATATAAATGAATAGAAAGGGGTGGGACTTTGTCACGAGAGTCTCATTAAAACACGTACGTATGACTCGTTGAAATAAACAAGCTATAACATACACTTGAAATGAAACTGAAGGTAAATCTCTTTGCAGAGGTTAGCTCCTTCACTTATTTAGCTAGGAACGTATGAAGATGACAAAGCCAGTCATAATCGGAAGGACAGGCAAGATACGCCTTCATCAACCTGAAACCAGTTTGGAAACCTTCTGCACTACATTCAGCATAAAGAACAAGATTCAGATTTTCAGCACAAATGTCATGTCGATCTTTCCACATGGGTCAGAAACTTGGCTTGTAACGAAGAGGATTTCACACAGGTTACAGATTTTCATAGAAACTAACCAAGAGCCGATCCCTCAACAGATTTGTAGGAGAAAATGAAGATGGATTGAGCATACATTGAGGAGACCCTCAAGTGGAATCCCATTAGGAAGCGACGAGCGGGTCATCACTTCGAGCGTGACATGGAGGAGTCGTGTGAAAAGATGAAAGATTTTGGGCAATCGTGGTCGGAGCTGAAGAGGAGGGCAGAAAATAGAGCAAAGTGGAGATGTTTTGTTGAAGCCCCCATATTCTACTAGAAACTCAAGAGAAACTAATAATAAAATATTAATAAGATCCCTTTGTACAAAAGTGAAGCCGTTCAAATGGACTCACACACACACAGGTCTGGGGAAAAAAGAAACTAGGATGGTTGTCAAACCAAAATCTGGCATCAGTTCATCATGAAGTCTTCGGCAATTGGTTTCAGGATAGACAAGAAGAGGGAGGTGTAGACTAACTGACTGGTTTCAACATGGAACTTTATACATAAAGGGCAGCAGTTTGAGTTGCCACACTCCATGTACCACAAATAAGGATAAAAGAGATCCAAAAGAATAATAAGTAACAATTAGTGTAAGAAAGAATAGTATTTTGGAAGGACGATAAAGCTTTATTGGATATATGAGATTACAAAAAGACTGAGTGCATCTACGTGTTATTGATAACGAATTTTAGCCTTAACACCAACTGTCTCCGGCAATAATTAGTTTTCAGCATTCCGAAAACTCTAATCAGGAAACATATTCCTCCCTCCTTAACTGTTTAAGATTTCATGTTTTAGGTTGACCACCCAATTCTTTTCCAACCTTAACCCTTCTGTCAGCAAGTTTAACTTTTTCCGTCGAGGAAGGTGATCGGTATCTAGGCCAGATTGCGTAACACACCTCAATCGATGCGACTGCTTCACATTCTCGTCGATTGATTTACCTTCCCACCTACCTAGCGCCTCACCACTATATTACTCACAAGATTATGCCACCTAACATGGGAGATGGAATGCAGACACCTTGCTGAAAGATAATTAGCCTACCTTTTCATGTCTTCCGTTTTCAATGGCTGACACCTCTCACTCATATCCACAAAGGAGAACGGAGAGAACTGCTGCTGAGTAGTACACACGTCCAGTGATCGATAGCCAGCCAGTTGGATATCACGTCAACTAAGCCACAGATGGCGTAAGTTTGCAATATCTACCAAGTCCTTCATAGCTTGTTATTCGTAAGTTATTTAACCCATAGTCTGACAATAAATGATATTCTCAGTTTTTCTTCATGGGGGAAAATTTCACTGACACATGTAAACTACCATTCCCCAGAAACCTTAACATTGCAGTTTAACAATTGGCATTAAAGCCAGAAGATATATATATATATAGGCCAAGAGGCCACCACAGGATTACGGGGTTGGCTTTCAGACAGATAAAACAAGTTCCTTGTCTAAAGACGGACTCATACATTGCAGAAAGGGCTCAAGGAGAGGACATACGTATGATTCCCGATGAGATTAATGATACAAGGAAAGAATTAACAGTTTTACCGCACAAATTGGGAAGAGTGCACATCATCCTACCATGGTCAAAATTCTAAGAAACGACTACAGACCTGAAACTTTTCGTTTACCCTTCCCAATGGGGTGGTCGCAACACCTCAAAGGACATAGTACGAGAGTAGAAAAGACAAGGAGGAAGTACACCGCTGTAGAGTACTTTTTCCCACTGAATTATAAAGTCTTGGAGCCAACTCTCAGAAGAAGGAGAAGCAGTGTCAGTCACCTCTACAAACACGTTCAAGAGGACATCAGGCATGCACAGCTTATTAGATAGGTTCAAGCCATCTATACCCCCAATCATTATATTTGAAAGCTGAAGAATATGTGAGCAGCTCCTCTCTCATAGAAAACACTAAAACATGCCCTATTATGTTTAAGCTTTACTAATTTATTATCTTCCAATTCAAGTTAAATCAATATCATGAATAGAACTTGGCGTTATCACTTCATCACCCCTAATATCGTTAAGACAACTTATCTTTTAGACAGTTAAATTACTACTTCCATGATTACCAGATTATGGAAACAGAATATTTGAGCATAAAATATCAGTGTATTGTTGCATCCCAAACGTACGATTAGTCGCTCAAAATATGGTTACCCTCATAGCCATTTCAGGAACAAGTAAGCCCACAATTGGATCTATTTCTGATGGGGGCATAATAATGATGCTAAATATTTAGATAACTCGTACGTTGGGGTGTCCTTAAGTCTTTCCAGATATTTAGACAAAGCTTTTTCACGCTATTTTTATACTATATTTATATTTGTATACCTTTGAAACCACCTACTTCTTTCCTGGCCAATTTTATTAGTGTCCAATGTGAACATTACGCATTGACAGTCAAAACCACTGTACCGCAGTAGTAGAAAACCGTTCCAAATAATATATGCGAAGTAAGTTATTAAAACAAAATACTCTATGTGCCATCTTCCAATAATAAGAGCATTAATTAAGCAGTCTTCTGTTTATGCTCAATGCAATTCCATCTGTAAAGATCTATTTTTTCTTCATGAGGGATTCTAGAACTTGATGTATTTGCTGACCACTTCGTGAGAAAAATAATGATTCATTCAAAGTTAGCTCAGTGATAAAATGCAGGTATTTTTTAAATAAACATCGATCATCTGCAGTAGCATAATGATTAAATAAGTCAGCACTTAGATCTATAGATCGTCACATGATATGTTATCACTTGGCTTATCCAGCCTAATTTTGTGTTCATGCTGAGTAATTCTGGGATTTATCTCTAACCACGTGGCAGCTTCGTTGTGCCTTATTCCCACCACAAGTTTTAATAATAATATATATTCTCATTTTGTACATGAGAGACGCCAGTTTACAGGCATCATCAATATGATAAATTACATATACGATTAGCAATCATAATTAATAATAATGTTTTAATAAAATACACATTTTTTCCTACTTGTGTAGGACACACCAAATATACAGGCATGGATAAGCATTATATAAATTTCATAAATTTGGTTTATGGTTAAGTTACATGGTTGCTGGCGTTTTTGTCTTAGGTCTGTGGGAACAATATGATAACCAGTCATTCAATGGAGCACGTCATGAAATATAGGAATATTAACTTCGCATTAACAAAAAAACCCAAGTAAGTTTTGGATGGATTAAAAATACTTGGGAAAAAATAAAGCTTGAAGTTATTCCACAATATAACAAGTCATTCAATGGAGCACATCATGAAATATAGGAATATTGTCTTCGCATTAACAAAAAAACCCAAGTAAGTTTTGGATGGATTAAAAATACTTGGGAAAAAATAAAGCTTGAAGTAATTCCTCAATATAACTTGGGTGTGTACAAATCCGAATCTTATTTTTGATTTGATTTATATCCAAATTGGGTAATAAGGAAGCTATTTTTACAGATACGATCAGTTATGTTATAAGCTACAATCGTGACGTTGTATTACAAATTGATACTTTTCCATTGGTATAAGAGTATATTCCACAAATGTAATCCAGGTTGCGTCGTGGAGAAAGTTAATTCGTTATTAACCAGGCAACTGAAAGATACGGGACCAATAATGTTTGCAGATCATTTGTCATTGTAAATGGTCAAATATCCACATTATTCATTCTCATTCAAAAAGTCAAATGGAAGCTGAAATGGTGAGAGAAAAAAGAAGACAAACAACAGCAACGCAAAAGAAAGCAACGGGAGTCCTTAAGGAGTGATTAATAAATATATACATATATATTCTGTTTAGTAACTGTGGTTATTTTGGTACACAAACTAACTAGTCCCGTTATGCTAACTTTTATATTATGTGTAAACTAATATTATTACTGTCCTGTGTAGAAATGTTAATCATCTAGTTCCAATAATATTAAAATTTATAATTGTAGTTTGTTGTAACTACACGTTTAAAGAACTTAAAATATCTATGTAGGGTGAAAAAGAAGGTGTAAGAGTCAGGCGCAAAAGTGCATTGTCATCTTTGAGTAGTCTGGTGACTGAGGAGATGAACACTGGAAGTGTGTTTGCATCGCGCACATTAGCTGGTAGTCTATTCCAAATGACTGAAAACTTATTTAAGAAGAAGTTGTACCGCACGTAAGTCTGACAGTGCTCCATAGCAGCTAGGTTGTGATGATTTCTAAGATTGTAACTGATGACAGCGGTAGGTTTAGTTATTGGCTCGGAGGAATGCAAGAGAAGATTAGTTAGCTTATAGTAAAAGATAAGGTTTAGCTTAAGGCGTCTTTTCCAGAGGGGTTCTAATCTTAGTCTTACGCATCGCTCATGGTATTCCAGACCACTTTCTAAACCAAGAGTTCTTGAGGTAAACTGCCGTTGCACTCCCTCTAATTTAAGCTTGTCATTTTGTCTTAGTCCGCTAAGAATAAACGGGCAGTATTCTAAGATAGGTCGGACACATACTTTGTATAATAAAACCCTAGTTTCACAACAAAAGAAATTGCGTGTTATGCATCCTATCAGCCTTCGCGTTTTACGTCTGGCATAATCAGTCTGTTCAGCG